TGCATTGGTCTGATGGGATGCTAGAGCAGGCTGGCTGTCCTTAGAGGAGAGAAGGAGGAGGAGGGAGCGAGGAGGAAGGAGGGGAGTAAGGAGTGGGTGAGAGCCTCTCATGTCCTCCTAATGATACTCCTGAGTCTCTGTATTTAGCCCTGTGTGTGTGTGTGTGGGGACAGATCCGGTGTGCTGCGTCAGTAGTGCCAACGCTCCCCTGAGCCTCTACTTGCCAGCAACTAAAAATGAAACAAAGAAATAACAAGTTGGCATGTTGTGTTTCTGTTGCCGTGAAGTGGGAAGCCGATTTTAGAGCCACAACTCTGATCGCAGCTTACACAGGAGCATCACACGCCAGGGGGGAACGATCGTAAACGAGTCAACAAGCACTTCAGGGAATCGGATCTAACATAACAAAAAATATTGCAGCATCACATTAATGTGCCATTAACATAATGGTTGACCTGCAGTAATGAGGCAGCAATGTAATGCATTACCTTAACCCCTTCAACTGCAAGGGCCTGAATGTGGAACAACACTCTACTAACTGCAGAGCTTATGTATTTTCCTAGCAGTTAGTGCTTTGTGAATAATAAATATAAAGATTAGTAATAGAGTAATAAGCCTGCAGTTTAGGAGGTTTTTAGGGCTTTCTACTTCTGTAAACAATTAATCTATTATTTAATTAATCACCATTTTCTCTCACTTTGCCCCCACCATAGCACCAATTTTGCATGTACAAGAAGCAATTTCCTCTTTTATAGTGCGACAAATCTAAATGTTAGATCGCCCCCTATGCTTCCTGTACTGCATTGCACTTTGTCAATAAAAAAAAAAATGTCCATGTTTATCATATAAAGCATTATAGAGAATAATAGAGCACTTTGTTTGTAACAAAAAGCTTATAAATAAACTTTGTTGATTGATGGCTGTTTTGTAAATTTTGACTATTTTTTGAGATTGTTCTCTTAAATTATTTCTTTTGAAATTAAACTTTTGTCTTCTCTTCATCCCTCATTCTCTCCCCCCTCCACCTCTCTTTCCTACTCCCCCATCCCTCTCTCATCCCTCCTTCGCTTTTCCCTCTGTCCAGTTCCAACAGGTCAGAAGAGTGATGACCATCCTGTTCCTTACTATGGTTATTTCATACTTCAGTTGCATGAGAGCTGCGCCCATGAGAGAGGTCCCGGGCGTGCAGGGGGGGGCCCATCGAGGCGCCGAGGGCTACCTGGGGGCTGCCGCTGCCGCTGTGGCTTCGGCCAGCCGGGGCCACGGGACTCCACAGAGCGGGGGTGGGCTGCCCTCGCTCACGGACACTTTCGAGCAGGTGATCGAGGAGCTGCTGGAGGCGGAAGGAGGTGCGGAGGAGGATGCGGCTGGGGCCATGCAGCACCTGGGGCCTGGGGCCAACCAGGGCCAGGGAGGGGGGGGTCCCGGGGCAGCCGCAGCAGCAGCAGTGGCAGCCGAATCGAAGGACGTCGACATGTACGCCTCACGGGTGATGCTCAGCAACCAAGTGCCTTTGGAGCCGCCGTTGCTCTTTCTCTTGGAGGAATACAAAAACTACCTGGACGCCGCCAACATGTCCATGCGCGTGCGGCGGCACTCGGACCCCGCGCGGCGCGGGGAGCTCAGCGTGTGTGACAGTATTAGCCAGTGGGTGACGGCCGTGGACAAAAAGACGGCCATCGACATGTCCGGCCAGACCGTCACCGTGCTAGAGAAGGTCCCGGTGGCCAACGGTCAGCTGAAGCAATACTTTTACGAGACCAAATGCAACCCCCTGGGTTACACAAAGGAGGGCTGCCGAGGAATAGACAAGCGGCACTATAACTCGCAATGCCGGACAACCCAGTCGTATGTGCGAGCCCTCACCATGGATAGCAAACGGAAGATCGGCTGGAGGTTTATACGGATAGACACTTCGTGTGTATGCACATTGACCATTAAGAGGGGGAGATAGTGTACACAATGTATAGATTTTATTGAGAGTTCTAAAAAAACAGAGAGAGAAAAGAGTAAATATCTATTTGTATATATACATAACAGGGTAAATTATTCAGTCAGATGAAAATTTTATGGACTGCATGTAAAAAAGATGAAGTTTATACAGTAAAAGTGATACTACAGTCTATTTATTGAACATATTCATGACCTTGTAAACAATTAAAAAAAGATCTGATCAGTCATTTGCGCCCAGTTCAAATTACTATATCACATTCCTCAAGACATTGTGGTTTTTTACGTTGCCAAGAACTCAAGAGATGAGGGGAGGAGAGCGGAGAGGGAGAATTACATAGGAGAGGAAAAAAAAACTTGCATGCTGCTTCAATTGTGAATTGAAAAAAAAAAAACTGTCCACTTTTGGAAAGCAAGGAATCTATTCCGAACAAAACATTCTGTTTACATTCTCAGCAGTGACAGGACGTCCTCCTCTAAGTACTTTATCTGTTTCCTATTCTAAACCTCTCAAGGTAATGTTGGAATTACATACTATGTCAAGGTGCTGTTGTCAAAGCTTTGCTGTTTATTTTTTTATCCCCACGAAATGAAAGAAAAAAATACTATAAAAACGATATATAAATATATATATATATATAAATATATATTAAATCTATTCATTGACATATGTTCTGGATTAATATAATTCATTTTGTATGTTGTGAAGTTGTTTGCAATATTAAATTGAAATATTTGAAGAAATAAAAATGACTATAGGCAACTGAAAAACAAAACCAATGTGAATAAAGTTTGAGCTCTCCCTTTGCAGGTTTAAGTTCAGCACAAACATTGGAGAACAGAGGATTATCTTCCAGATTATAACGTACGTTACTCATAGACTGAGCCTAGTTCTGGACTGAATTACACAGAAAATACTTTTAGCCTTGAACTAGGCTTAATCTGTGTCTGAAAATGAGACGTTAATGTACTAAAGTCTGAATGTATGAATCCTCTGTGTGCATTTATTATAATAATCATTACAGTAATAAGCAAATAAGGTTTAAGAGATTTTGTAACATACAAAAAGTCCAGATTAAACATGCAAAGCGGCACCTGCTCTCAAAACCTCTCACACCATCTTGGCCAAGTGAGGAGTGACCCTGCTGCATATTCAGGTAAGACTACTGATGTGAACGTGGAACATCAGCCCATCTAAGATGGAGATTTCAAGAAACGGAGCTGCTCTCTACCCAGTGTTGTTCTTCAGTCACTGGTCACAGGCTATCGTTTCCATCGCTAAGAGATTATCTTGGAGAAAAAGAGATCAATGCATTCAACACATCCACTCAACTTGATATCTGATCCATCTGTGCACAAACCTGCTTTCACTCAAAGATTGTTATCAGACACATGTGTCTGAAGTGTTGACACTGAGGCAGCGGAGACTAGGCACAATGTGGGAATAATTACTCTCTGTTAGTCATACATATTTAAACATTTCAATGGAAATCATCTTAAGTCAGAAAGCTATAATAACATTCTATGATAATATTCTATAATACAATACAAATACATTCCCTTTCAGCACCCACAGAAATCAGCCATTGTGCCTAGAAGGGAAATAACATGGTTTGGCATTAAACTACACAGTTATGCACATCAATCTGACATATTTTTGACTTATGTCACTACATGAGGGACAATTTGGTATTATTACATCGTCCTTACACATATGCATCATGGCTTTTAGTTTTGCACACACCTGAATGATGAAGGACATCACACAGACAAGGACCTCCTCAACATTAAACCTCAAAGGTGCTTAAATATTGTGTCAGTTTCCTTACTAATATAACCTGAATAAACAGAATTAATTCACTTTAGATAGGCCAGTAGTCATTCCAGAAGAACACTCCTCCCTGACCAAGAACCCAGCTACACGTCTGAGTTATTTTGGTGAGGTTCAAATTGTCCCCCAGTTCAAAGCACTGCTCGGTAAGACCCAGCAGAGCCCTGTCCCATTTGCCAGAGAAATAGGCCACGCTATGCGTGTCCCTTTCTGAATTATATGGCTCTAAAACATAGCGCAGTTGTAATATCACATCAGACCTTAAGTGCTTCCTCGATGAAGGTTTGGCCTGATGTATTATCTAAAGTACTGGGAATGGATTCATTTATGCTGAGATGGAAATCAAGCTGTCCATTATTTGTTACACTGTCTTTAGATCATGCCTGTAAAGCACTTAGCTGCATTTGAAATGTATGGAAAGTGCTAGCAATACATTTTATTATTATACAATTATTATTATTATCATTATTACTAGTAGTAGTGGTGGTAGTATTAGTACACACTTTAAAAAGATGGCTCATCAAGGGTTCTTTAGTCAAGACAATGGTTCTATTTAGAACGTTGAGTTCTATGTAGAACCATTTCATGCTTAAAGGGTTCTTTGCATGGTGAAATGGTTCTTCAGACTGATGGAGAATGTGTTGTATATAGTTCAATATAGCACCAAAAAGCATTCTTCTGTTGTTACAATGTTCTTTATCAATCTGAAGACCCATCTAAACATGACTTTAAGTATAACTTATAGTTCTAAACAGAACCATTGTCTTTACTAAAGAACTGTTGAAGTGTGTATTAGTAGTGGTGGTGGTGGTCATATATATCATTAAATGACCCAATATTAAAACAGTGATAGACTGCAGGTTACAACTTTTGTTTATAGGTTTCTTTAATCTAAAGGTGAAATTCATACAGTCTAAATAAGGCAAATTAGGCAATTGTGCCTTATGGCCAGTAGATGGTAACACTAACTAATAGAAGAGCAGTAGAAACTCGCTGTACTATTTGCACTGCACTATCTTGGACAGATCGTTTGACATCCCAACAAACTACTGCTTTACTTACCTGTGTGCAAACGTGGGGCTGAAATTTACTGGGTGCCATTAAAGTCATTATTATTCCTACCTCACTAATAACGAAAATCGTGTTATGTACAGACCTCTGATGCCATTTCTCTGATACATGCGCATATCTTGCGCAGTAAGGATCTTCCTCGATTCCCCTTTAATCTCTTCGCATTAGCTACGAGCTGCCGAGAGACGGTGCTATTATATTGAGCCTTTCTTAAGCACAAGTGGACTATCCCGGGCTAAAATGGCCTCGTTGGGGGAACCTGTGAGACTAGAAAGAGGTAAACATCACATTACCGTATATTATTCAATGTTTTAACGGCAGACAAAACGAATTTAGACTGAACAGTCCGCTGTTTCCAGCTGGTGATGCTAGCGAAGACTTACCTCGATGCTGCTAGCTAACATTTAGCTCTCCGACCGACCACATTAGCTAATATTTTTTAAAGAATATCGAGTTTAAAGACGCATATTTATGAATTTAAATGAGCATAGTAAGTACGTTATACAACGTTTTTCAGAAGAATGAGTTAGTAACAAAATATTTGAGCTGTCCACTCTTCCGAAACTAAAGCGTTAGCGGACTAGCCAGCTAGACGGTGGTTAATCTTTTGTGTTAGGATTCCTCTAACTTAGCCGTCGGTAACTTCACTTATAATGAACATTAAGATGTAGCGCCGGTGTGTTCTGTTTTGAAGCGTGGCGAATGGAATATGTTCGTTATTTAATCTGCATTAGCAGGTATTTATGGTTCTTGACACCCGTCAGTGGTGCTTGCGTTTTCTTTTGGCTAACGAGTCAACTGTCGTCGACTCTAAGCCACAGATTTACTTTGGCTGATAACTTTAAAGAAGAATTTCACCGATTTTTCCAATTTCTGCATAATTCAGTGCTTGAGCTATAAACACAGTCACTCAGATTGTTGTTTTATGCGAAATGGTTCGTTTGTAGAGAAACTTGCCGACATATATTTGTTTACAGTGGTGGTGATGGGAACCGAGGGTCCCGAGGTCCACAATGCAAATATAGCCATTTTATTCACTATCCAAAACCACCAGTGAACCTACACGCGTCTTTTGAGTTTTTTATATGTAAAGTTGTCTTTGGGGACTATTTTGCCTTAGAATACGCTTTTTGTATCCCTCCACCGTAAATTGATTAAAACACGTTTTAGACGAAAGCTCGTTTGAAGCGATGTCTCAGACATCAGGCAACGTTTCCATAGCCATTCCATGTAATAACTTTCTGTGAAGTAGCTTTTCGAGGCAGTAAACATCAGACGTCTGGTTTCTATCACCACCACTGTGAACAGTTCTGTCTTGGTAAGTTTTTCTAGAACGAAGCATTTCACAACAAACCACACTGAATGATATTGTTGACATGTTAACTATTTAATTATACAGAAATTTTGGAATGTAGATTGAGTTCCTCTTTAGCTTACACTGTTGAGATGATGGCCTAAACTTCAGTGTCTGATTTTTTTGCTGTAACTTTACATGTACAGTTAAGAAGACTACTGAGTTGAACTTGCAGCGTGTACCTCTGCCTGTAGTTTGACATTTATATGGTACGTGTGTTGACATCCTCCATGTAAGATGTCCAGTTCAGATGAAGAGCTCTGATTCTGTAACCCTTACAAAACCTGATGCCGTGGAACAGAACTAGAGGGAATGTTTCACTTACACTTAAGAGCAAAGTGCTGTTGGACAAATGACAGAAAAAATGTGCCAGGCAAAATGACTTGGCTGGGAAGGTGACTGTTGATGTCTCTTAAGTGGCCTCAAAGGAAAAGAATATAACCTAATAACATAGCTGTTAGAGCCTTTCACCAGGAATCATGGACAGTGTTCATTGCCAAGAAATTCACATCTCCAGATGGCTTAGGTCAAATGGTAGGTCTGGTTGTTGGTCTGATGGTCTTGCCTCACAGAAAACTTCCCTTCACAGACATCTCTCGTGCCATCGAGCTACTGGACAAGCTCCAGAGGACAGGGGAAGTACCTCCCCAGAAGCTGCAGGCCCTGCAGAGGGTTTTGCAAAGCGAATTCTGCAATGCTGTCCGGGAGGTAAGCTGACATGGCTTAGCATTAATATGAGGGCTGCAACAACATAAGTTTTTTCATGTATATATATGCCAAGAAAATGTATAGAATATTTATATTGGGATTAAATCTATTTGGATTTTCATTACAGAAAAATAACACAAGATCAGTTTGAAGTACAAAGTCAAGTCTAAATACCTGTCTGACGGTTGTAGTATTCAAGGCATTATCTGTTGATACTGCCACAGCTCCATTATTATCATGCATCCCTAGTTATTACTGTCACCTTTTCTCTTTTTTGACCGTTCTGACCATTGCTAAAAATCATTTATTACTTTTCAACTATAATGAACTAGTCAGAAGACTAAGGAAGTATGTAATATATTGTTCTCCTCTCCTGACAACTAGTTATTTAAGTGATAAAAGGTGATTGGCAATGCGTTACCTGTGCAGTCTAGTCTGCTTAATGCATTGCTTTGCTCAGGAGACTTGAGCCACATCACTTGCTGACATTTTCTTTAATTGTTCCCCCGTAAACGTACCAGTGCTTAAAGGTTTAATTAAACTTTGACACTTCATTGAGTTCAGTTTAATGCATTTCTAAAGTAGTTAGTTCAGCACTGGTGACTTTAGTCTGTGGTCCTACAGACAACTTATTGAGGTTTTTAGGAGAGCTGGGTAGTTTTATGTTGAGATTGAATGTAATCAATTATCTTTAGGCTAAAAGACTTAAAAGTAGCCAAAATTGCCCAACATAAATGAAAGACTAAAAGACTGAAAGCATCCACAAATAGCAGGTCTGTTGACTGTGACTGTTCCTTCCATCCTTTTTCAGAGACATGGGTCTCATATGGAAAGTGCCATTGCCCATGTAGTGAGCCTAAGACTTTGCTGGCAGTTGAGTCAGCTCTACCCTGCTGCGTTGTCATCTGTCGTCTTTTTTTTTTTTATAACCGTCAGATTCTTGAGGCCAAAAACACTGTGTGATGCTCTGGCAAAGGGAAGCACACACTCCTTTTTGTTAAGTGCACGATCTGCTACCTGATGTTAAAGCTTTATTTGAGTTACCCAAACGTAAAACATATATGATATGTATAGGCTGTGTTAAAATCAGTAGAAAATCAATAAAATGTTCATGTCTGTTGAGAGTTCAGCAAGATGCAGACCTGTGCTTCATAAACTTCACACATCAAAATCTATATTCTCATCAACAGTAGAACATTTCTGCCTGAAAAAATTATTAATTTAATGCACCCTGTGAATCCAGAAATAGCTTTATCTTTGATATGATAAATTTGAGTCTTGATGACAGATATTTCAGACTACAAAATGGGGTGCTGTAGATGTTTCTGTATCCTGCCCTGTCTTCACTCACAGACAGTATTTGCAAAACTGGCAGCTTGAATCCCAAGAAGTCATTCAGTGATACTGACATGCATACACACACATTGCAAATAAACTAATTATCATAGCTACACCTCCATGTAGGATTCCTGAAGAACAGTATCTGGATGCTGACAGCTTTCTGGGTTATATGATGTACAGAAATGAACTTCAGCAAAGTCGAGAGGTGCTGGCAGCCAAAGTAGCAGCCAGCAGAGGGAGAGTAACAGGCTAACAGTGACTAGTATTGCTTTTGTTGTTCTTGTTCACCAGTGTCTACAGAGGCAGAATTTCTTTTGCTGTTTACCTGGGCAGAATTTAGTCTACCATTCTGACTTCAAATAGTCAAACAAGTAGTCGTCCACCCCTCGCAGGAAAACTTTACTCATCCAAGAAAACAGTCTATTGCTATATCATCCAACACACACAACATAGAAGGATAGATGGGCATCTATGTAAATAGCATAGAATGTCCATTTTGCTATGGATAAACAGCGAGCTGCAGCACTTAGCAGAAGAGCAGTGCAAACTAAGGAAGGCCCTGTTCACACTTAGTATTAACATCTGTTTCGAGTGATCTGATCATAAGTGGACAGTGAGACGTGTAGCCGTTCACACCTGGTATCTCCATGTGTCTCGAATGCGTCTCCAATGATCAGATTTCGTCACTGGAGGAAGGGGACCTTTGACAATCACTGCGGCAAAGTCAGCTTTATGGTCATTCCTTCTCCTCACAAATGTGTTGAGAGAGAAACAAATTGTAGTTTCTGTTGTCGGTGCTACATTTAACACAGAACAAATATATACATTAAAGGCAGACAAACTGTACAAACAATGTACAGTAAAATTTTCTCTAAATGTACTATAACTACAAAACTATTCATGGTCCCCAGAAGCAGTAATAGTTGTGTGTGTATTGTTTATCAATGCACAGTAGTTTTTAGTAATGCAATGACGAAGATTAATAAAACAGCAGACAGTGTACAGATTGGAGTAAGTGAAGTTAAACTTTCACAGTAAAGTGATTGAGTGCAGAAGTTAACAGTGCAACAGATAAAGTAAGTAGTATGACTACTATGAGTCTGGAGGACTTGGCCTGGATGCTCCGTAGTCTTCTTCTAGATGAGAATGATGTAAACAGTCCATGTGATGGATGAGAGGGATTCTTCTTGATGCTGCATGCTTTTCTTTTACACCGTTTGGTGTAGATGTTTTTAAGGCAGGGAAGCTTGACCCAGTGATAGACTGGGAAGTCTTCACTACCTGCTGCAGTGCTTTCCTGTCTGAGACGGTGCAGCCTCCATAGCAGACAGTGATGCTGCAGGTCAGGATGCTCTCTATGATGATTTTGAAGAAGCAGTTCATGAAAAATGAAACTACGCAGCTGCTTCCATCTGATTAAGGCGGTCCTCCACTGCTGTCGAAGATGCATCAAGAAGCTTTAGGATTCACACTATAAATGTTACATGGTCACGTGTGTCCCTGACCATCTCCGAAGGTAGTTTGAGTGATCAGATCACACTTGGTCTCCAACTGTACCCTTCGTTCTCCACTCATTGGATAACTCAGGACACTTCTATTTTGCTCACATCAGACTTGGGTGTGTTATGTTTTCTAACACTGTTTAAAACATCGATGCGGAGCTTTCATTGCCCGATCACAGGAGACCTGTTAAGTGTGGTTGGTCATGTTCATGTTCTGCACAAAAATGTTGATCGCATCCTTTTACATTTGAGTTTTCTTCTTGTGGTGAGTCCTGGATATCTGTGGTTTTGAATTGCCTGCAACTACAGTTTGCAACATTCAAACAGTGACTGCAGGCAATAGTGGTATGAGATACGATTTGCTTCCGCTTTCTTGTAACTTTTGCACTCGAGTACAACATAGATGGTCAGCATTTCATTTCATGAATAGTGGAGTTATTTATATAATATATACCTGCATGCTTACAGGTAAATACACCCTACTGCTGGGTTTGGGTTAGGACAATAACAATAATTATCGCAATATTATTTTTCTTGATAGAAATATAAGAAACGTTCTATTATCGTTCGATGTAATAGTCCATTCTCACACTTCTGTGTTCTAGCAACAGCCCTGGTAGCATTTTCCACTGTAAGAAAAGCTACGCTACTCTGTTGCCGCCATGAGAGGGCGCGCTTCTGAGTTTTTTGACATGATTCGAAGAGGGAGGGGATGGGGACTAAAATGGGTCACCAAATACACTTAGATATATACATCTGAAAAGTGGGGTTGTACCTTCCCTGTTTGAGCAGAGTGATCGATGATTTCTTCTCCCACGAAGTGTGAGTGACAAGTTAAGTGGCATGTAATTACACTGGCCCAGAGCGAACTCACTTCTATCCTGACATCCTAACAAGCTTTAGCAGCGTTAAATCACATCTGCACACAAGTACAGCTGAAGTGGTCTGTGTGTTACAGGGATAAAACACTAATATTTTAGTATTAGTGCAAACCCAAGCAACAAAAGTGAAAGAAAGAAGTGGGATCATGCTAGTTACAGCATTAAAATGAAAGTACATTGAAGATGCTTTATAAGTGACATGGAGGATTGGGCGAATGCTCATTTCCCAGGTTAGCTGCTTTTAGCAGCTGGCTAACTTGAAGCAGCGCTCCGTCACTTGCACAGCACGGCCGAATTGATGTTATTGTAGTGAACTAAAGTGATCAAATAAAACAAAACGACTGACTTCGATGGCATTAACTGCAGTGTGATTCTCTCGCACCAGACAAACAACGTCCTCCTCCATAGTTGTTTGTCTCTTGAGAGAGAGAGAGAGAAAGAGAGAGAGAATCACATTGCAGTTAATGCCACTGAGGTCCATCTTTCAAACAGTGACCTGCAGATATGCTGTGGTTTTTCCATCCCCCAAACTACTACGACAGAATAGAGAAACCCAAATGTCTGTTAGCTTGTGTTTAAATACTGTGATATGGATGTGGTAGGAGTGATAGGAGTAAGGCAGTGTGATCCATCATTGACTTGCTGAGCCAGCTAATGTTTGCTGTTTGTACTAAGCTGACATTGTTGAGTATAGCACCTATAATCTGTTTTATTTTTAAATTATGAATATTACGAAAATCGCGTCCATGCTGTGCGTGTGAGCTGGTAAAAAAAGCTAACCTGGGAAACGGTCTCCCACTGTCCCATGACAGATTTGCAAAATGTTCCTCTGTTTGGCTTATGTTTGTCATGTTCTGACCATAAAGAATAGTTTAAAACCACAATTAACCATCTGGTTTTTCAACAACAAAGCAAAAGAATCAGCCTTTAAAGTTAAAAGGAATAATGATGTGACATTTATCGTAATAATAATTGATATCGACTTTATATGAAATTTTTTATCATAACAACTTTGGCCATATCGCCCAGTCCCAGTTGGGGTGTTACCTGGAAGAGTCTAAGTAGCTGGCTAGCACATTGTTGTCTTGTGCATTATGTAGACTTCAGTGAGAATAAAACAATTCTCACACTAGTGGGGCAGTTTGAACCATTCCTGTACTGTTTGTTTTCAGAGAGCCTAAATATTTGCATTGCATGTGACAGAATGGTGCGAATCATCTCTTTCAGAAGGCCACTGAAACAGAATTAGTTTATCACTACAGCAATATCCCAAATGATTCTTTTTCTCACAAGCACTCTAAGTTGTGAATACCCCATGCGGTATCATTAGCCCATTCACGCCTAAGGAAAGTTCAGCTCATTCTTAGCCCATCTCTCAGATCTCTGCCTACGCATGCTTGTTAAATGAGCCCTCCTATGGAGCAGTGTGGCTTTTTTACTCATACTTCAACACATGGGCCACTCATCCCCCCCTTCGATAAAAACCCCTGAGGAATGACCTAATTTGAGCTGTTCTGCAGCAGGTGATGATGCGTGACTGTGACTGGAGAGTTATGCCTCAGTAGTTGATAAGAACATTGGCTGCTGAGTGACTCAACAGTGCTGTCCACTTAGAGCTGTTTATTCACTCCCTGCTCAGTTACTGAGGATCTGCCTGTACTCATGGAGTACCTCAAAGCAGGAGTGCTAAACTAGGATCAGGTTTCTCCTGTGCTTTGAGTTATCTCAGTAATTAACAGTTCCAAGATTAACATTTCTGCTCTGAGATGCTTTTTGAGCACCGGCCTAGATTTCACATTTTGGTCTTGCACTTAATCACTGCTGTATGTGCGTTTCTTATTTAAACTAGTGGAAGGGGGGGAAGCAGTAATTTTGTTCACATGAACATGGTTACAGAACTCTAAGCCATCTGAAGTAGCATATTGTTTGAGGCTTTTTGTCTGTCTGTTTCATGCTTTTGCTCTGTTTTTTGATGCTCGCAGGTTTATGAACATGTGTATGAGACAGTGGACATTAACAGCAGTCCAGAAGTCCGAGCCAATGCCACAGCAAAGGTAATGTTTTTTTTGGAACTCGTGATTTTGAAGCCTACTTACAATTATTACTATTATTACAATTTAATTTTAAACGATCCTAAGGGTGTAACATCTGTGTGGACACCACAGTAGCAGAGTTAAAATGTTTTTAAAATGTTAAAAAAAAAAAGTTTATAAAGTTTGATATAGTAGCCCTAGCAGAAGCTGTGTAACTCTGTCAGAGGGTACACTCTAGCAGAGCAACGGGACGATACATTATGTTAACTTGTACAATATTCTTGCCATTTGTCTGATGGTTCTTATGTTTTGTGAATATTCTGCTAGTGATTGCTGCCAGTGAAAATCTGCTCTTAAGGGTGTTGCAAGCATTTTTTGTTCTAAAGCTCTCTGAGACATAGTTCAATGAACTAAGAAAGCCTAATGAAAAAAAACCAGAAATATTGTGATATTTATACCAAAACAGAGGACGTCTTGAACCTCATCTTCTAAAAGCATTTTGGATATCAAAGGGATTTTTGTGATGACCACAACAGTGGAATTATGTTCTATAGTGCTTAATTAAGCGTATACTATTGTATGACCTTGATTCGGAGGTTCGGTTGACTTTATCCATTTTGTATCGGTGAGTGTTGATTCGGTATGTGCAGTACACAGTGGCAGATAGATATGTTGTGTATATTTACCATCCTGCAACATACCTACTTTTTGTGCGTAATAGAAGATAACTGTGTCCAAACTGCATCTGTTGCGACTGCAGTGATTCACATCTGTGTCCTCATGAGTTAGGTCAGAGCTCTCCAGGATGTCCTCTGTGTGCTTCACGTAACTGGTAAACACAAGAAGTTTATTCCAGCTCATGGTCTGATTACCTGAGGGGAGTGCATGACTTGCAGCAGCCAGCTTTATTTTAAATTTAATATTTAGTTGACAGGGAGCATCTAAACCTTATTATGTATGACTACACTGTAGAGAACCCAGTTTTGGATTACCTTGCCCAAGTTAATGTACACATAGTAAAATTTTGTTAAATTGGCCATATTTTAAAACTCTCCTGTATCACTATTTATCTAAGGAGGGAAAAAAAACTGCTTAATGCACCATTGCCCTACTCTGCTTCTGTTATGCAATGTGAAATTATCAGTATGCATGCACAGCAGAAGCCCATTAGTTTATTCTCCTTGCTTCCAAAACAGGCCACGGTGGCAGCATTTGCTGCTAGCGAGGGGCACTCCCACCCTCGTGTTGTGGAGCTCCCGAAGACAGAGGAGGGTCTAGGCTTTAACATCATGGGAGGGAAGGAACAGAATTCGCCCATCTACATCTCCCGCATAATCCCTGGAGGCATTGCTGACCGACATGGCGGCCTGAAGAGGGGAGATCAGCTGCTGTCTGTCAACGGAGTAGTACGTAGACTGTCTGGAAGTAGTTTAACATTTGGAGTAAAAGTTTTTTTATTCCTAGTAGAAATGGTGTAATGACATGAACACCCTCTGTTGTCTTGTATTCTTCTGTGCCAAGAAAAAGCGACATGTCAAGCATGATGCACTGCAGTTTTTATAGCACTAAGAATAGCAGTAATTTTAAGCTAAATTTCATTCTGTTTTGTTATTTTTGACTGTGATGTAATCCTAGGGATGAAGATTAATGTTAGTAGATGTTTTGGACCATTGGTCTGTTTTATTATATGAAACATTAATCACATAACTAGTCTCTTAAATTAAGTGCCAAATCAGAATAAAACCTGTTATACCCAAATGATGCCACTGTTCAGTCTAGGTAACCATAGCAAGGTGACTTTTCTTGCATTGTGGCTGACTCATGTGGTGTTACACAGGCATTCGCTCCAAGTCTTTCTTTCTGTTTTTAATTATTTTTGTAGAGTGTGGAGGGGGAGCACCATGAGAAGGCAGTGGAGCTGTTAAAGGCAGCTCAGGGCACGGTCAAGCTGGTGGTTCGCTATACCCCTAAAGTGCTGGAAGAGATGGAGTCCCGATTCGAGAAATTGCGATCTGCTAAACGCCGGCAACAGAACAACTACCCACAGTAGGGCAGTCTCCCTCCGGCCCTCACATCTTTTGCTCTCTCTCTCTGGCCCTCACATCACTCCCCCCCTCTCTCTGTCTTTCTCTCTGTCTTTCTCTCTCTTTCTGTCTCTCTCTCTCTCTCTCATGCTCTCTCTGTCATACTGTCATATATTCTGCCCTTCTGCTCATCCCCATGTGCTCTCTTCCTCTGCCCAGGGATTGGCCACATGTATGGCACTTCTTTTTCTCTTTTTCTGGAATTTTCTAAAACTGTCACCACCTTAATTTTGAACACACCTTTCACAGTCTTGTGGCATGAACACTACTTATTTTTTATTTTTATTTTTTTTTTAAATACAGGCACACTCACAAACACAGACACTCATTGTACTCTGTATGTGCATTACTGAAACTGTTCTGTCAATCAGAGGTTGATTGGTCAGGATTGCAAGGGGACCACCACCATCATCTGCTCCTGAGGTGATTTAAACAAAATGTCAAAAGTAAGTCAAAAGTGCCTCAAGAGCTAAAGAAAACGGAATGTCTCTTAAATGCAATGTGGTTCTCACTGTACTGTACGCCACCTATGGTGAAATAAGAGGAAAATGAATGAACACTTCCACCTTGTAAAATCTAGATGAGGTTAAGCAGTTTGTGGAAAGTAGCTTCTTAAAAGGAACAAACATGTCTTTGATTGTGGTTATCCGACCTTTCTTGCTTGCTTACAAGAATAAAAATTATTTTCCACTATTTAGCTGGAAAAATAGCAGTGTCATTACACAGTGATCAGCTTGTAACAACACTATTGTGACATTTTTATCCATTTTTGTTTACTTGTTTATTTTGATTAATAGTTTTGATTCTTTTAATTGTGAAAACTGTACTTAGTCCTGTCTCTGGGGGTCGACCGAAACGTGAATGTGCCCTTAGTCAAGTATGATATGTTTGACCACGCCTTCATGCTGGTCTCTGTTCCATTAGCTTTTGTTTTTGTTGCTTATGTTCTAGGTTTGCTAGCGGAAATCATAATTTTAGACCAACTTCATGTTTATTCTCACCATCATAGAATCATCTTGACACTGCAAGGTAATATAAGAAAGCAGGATGTTGAGAAATCTTCCCCTTTTTTCTTTGAATGTAGTAGAATTGGTCCACCAGATGTTAAGCACTGATCCCTCATGCTAGCCCCTCCCCCCTAAAATATGGCTAGGGGAAAAATATTTATTTAGATCGAGATATTTATTGGTTTTAAAATCACCCTAGAAATATTCTTTATCACAAAATTTGCTTTTACGTGTGTGCAGTAGCTTTTAGGTTATTTGCTCTCCCTTTGGCCAGTACTTAAAGAAAATATGGTGATCTTTTAGTTTTTGTTTTATGAGATGATTTGTGGTTGTTTTTTATCTGTTTCCCATTGATCATTTATTTACTTCAGTGACCGAGGTTCAATGAATATTCTTTTTTTTATTATTACTCATAACAAAACTAAGCATATTTTTTCCCCAGATGTTTCCAAAAATTGATTTGTCCTAAATCAGAGAGCGTCATATGGTAGCTTCGCATTTAACTTCTTCTCCTTGTACTCATTTCCGAATGTTAAAAAATGCAAAGCTCCAGATGTATTTTTAACCTCAAACGCAGGTATTTTCAGTGTCTAACAAGCTCAGAAAAAAGCTGTCTATTTTTCTCTGTCTCTCATAAAATATTTAGCGCTTTTCTAATTCTAGGCGCTCATGAATCATCAGGAGCTGCGAGATGCGTTGGTGCACGGAGAGAGGAGGGGTGGGAGAAGGGGCGGTCTGATCTCTTGCGTAAGAGAAACATTTGTGTGATTGAAACTCGAAAATGTTCGTTTAAATCGGGTTGCAAAAGTGGACGCTTTGTTCTCTGAAGTTCTGGAAGAGCTCAGGTTGCATTTCTCCTTCTCTGGCTTTCCGTGATGTAACATTTCTCAACCTGTTCCACTAAAGCAATAAGACTTGCTCTTTTTTCCCCCCAGCACATTGTTGTTATTCACTGCTCACAAGTCTTCATTATTGTCCACTTTTTGGGGTGCTTACTATTTTTGTAACCGCATTTTCTTTTAATATTGCTCCCCTTTTTGATAAAGGATTTTTTTCATGAGATTTTTTCCAAGGAATGATTTGTATTGCTTTTCTGAGTACATTGTCCCTTACGTTTTCGAGTACAAAGACCAAACTTGCAGCCTTTCTGAGAACTATTTGATACCATGTTGAATGTCCAGTATGCTAGTTTGGGACTGTTACTTTAATGAACCTGATGTTATATTGTATCATTTGGCATTTCTCTGCTGTCCTGGTGTATTGTTACATTTAACGTTGATGTATAGAATTACGACGAATTACTTCTTAGAATTACTTAAAAGTAATGAGATTTGAAGCTGCACAAAATAAAATACAGATGAATATTGGTCTCTGTGTTTATCTTCTATGTGTACTAATTCATGCGAGTGTACTCGTGTATGAACTGATTGATTTGATGCTTTCTAAATGATCAAACGTCATGTTGTTGTGTGACATTTGCTGCTCATAGCTTTTGCAGGTTGTTATTATAAAGCCCTTAACACTAGAGGGTGCTGTATGATAGTACACTTTGTAACTGATGGTTTAGTGCTCTTGAATCTTGATCATAGATGTACTTTAAAGGGACAGAGATTAATTTTTAGGCTTTGAAAAAGGCAATATCCAGCTTCTGAATGCTGCATGAGTATATATAACAATATTTTTTATTATGATTTTGCTCTGTAGTTGAACCATGGGAAGCGAACCCTACTGATGAAAGGAATTTCCATGGATTTTTCAAATTTCTGCATAATTCAGTCATCGAGAGTTGTTTGATATGAAATGCTGGATTCTAGAGAGGCTTATTGACACAGATTTCTTACAGTGATGGAAGGAACCAATGGTCTATGTATTTACAATGCAAATATTGCCTTTTTATTTACTGTAATTTGAAAATAAAAAGGTTTTCTGTGGGTAATATTTTACCTTACAGAGCCTTGCATGTACCTCTCTGCCATGAACGTATTTAAAAAAAAAAAATGTTTTAGGACACAGCCGTATTTTTAAACTATTGTACAACAAAGTCTCAGGCTTCAGGCAGCCTATTTGCAACCATTTTATGTAATAAGTTTATGTAAAAGAGCTTTTAGAGGCTTCTAATGCTTCCATCATCTGGTTCCTATCACCACCGCTGTGAATAATTCTGACTCAATTTAAATTTCTCTATAATGCTGCATTTCACATCAGATCACTCTGAATGACTGTTTACGTCTTGACCATTTAATTATACAGCTTAATTGTCCCCGGTGGTGTGGTAAAAGAACAGTAGAAAGCAAAATGAGAAGATTATGAGGGTTTTTTTTCTTGTTTTTATAAACTCAATGCAAAATGAGTTCCTAAATAGGAAAAGAAGTAGCATAAAATCAGCTTTTTATGTAATATTAAAACAGAAGCCTACAGTTAACCCATGTACTCATTTTGCTATGTAATGACAAACGAACCCCCTCAAGCAATTAGGCAGTCCAGTTTATGACCTTGTCAACACTGCCATCACACACATTCTGAGTCTCAGGTTACATCTCCAAGAACATAACAGTCACTCTCTGTGACTTAGTGCAGCTTAGCCAAGCCCCAGAGGCCTATTAATAACTAAACATGGAGGAACCCCTCTCCTGATAAGGTGTGAAGACTTTGAACTGTGTTAATCATGAAAAATAGGCCTGCTGACAGTGAGACAGATGGGTTTGCTGCTCAGGTCCACCCCCCTGTGCCTTCTTGGAGTGTTTTCCTATATTGAGCATCCATATGCCTGACCGGAGTTATTCAAACTGTGAGTAATCAACACCACAAAGCACACAGGTTTATAGCAGGTTTCCCTTATCTTTGATTGCATCATTGATAAGTCATAAAATTCAATAAAAGCACTGTATGTTTTACAGTAGGAATGAGAGGTGATGCGTTACCAGGGCCAGTTGTGCGCTGAAGGGCATGTTAAGTGTAATTTATACCCATAAGGGCCCCAACCTTTGTCTATGGTTCTATATAGCACCAAAAAGGGTACTGCTTTTGTTACAATGTCAACTTTATAACAACAGCAGAACCCTTTTTGGTGCTTTATAGAAAAAAAAATAAAAAAAAGATTCTATATAGAACACAGTTCTAAAGAGAACTCTTGAAGAACTGCAGATGTCAGATGGGTTGCTTTTATAACTGCTGATACAGGGGCTCATAATTGTATCAGGCCTAACCAGTACTCATTTCATTTTTTTCGTTCTCCCACTCAAAAATAGGTGAAAGTCCATTATATTTATAATATTAGAACCAAGGAAGCTGCACCAACGAAGAAAATCCCTTAATAATAATAAGTGAGATGGATCGAAGTCAGCACATACAAAGCATACCTACAATTGCGCTCATCACATTGATGCTTTGTATGGCAATATTAAAACATAAAAACAAAGAATAGTAATATCCAGAAAAGAAAAAAAAATCATACAATCAATGTTAACTTTGTTGCCTTTGTAGCCAGTTTTTTCATTGTCATTCACATTTTTAGTTTAATCTCCATGTTGTACACATTTTGGCAAAATACCCCCATAATAATAACTATGATGATATTTAATATAAAAAAGGAATGAGTGTTAAGAACTGTTATGGCATAATCAACAATCATAGTACCCTATTGAAGTGTTGAAAATGATTCCAAGACAAGTTGGTGTATCATTCTTTTGTCATAACTGACTATCACTAAATAAAACTTCAATACATTTTGGGTTTGAATAGAGGTAATAAATTGTAATTGATGTCTTTTGATATCTGGCAATATCCTGAAATTCAACCAGCCCACAACCCACAAAACTATCTAGCATAACTTTAAAAAAGTGATGGGGACATTTTTTGCTTATTTTTGCATTTTTCCCTATGCATAAGGAATATTTTATAGCTTTTTACTAATAATCTGAGTATATTTTGCAACACTCAGCACAATGCTAATGCTTATTAAACATTCTCTGCTCCCAAACTGAAATGTTTGCTCCCAAACTTTTGACAGACACACAGTAGGGTATCAGGAAAGTGAGTGTTGTATCTTTTCTATAGCGTGAGAGCCCTGGTCCTGGAGATCTACCTTCCCACAGAGTCTAGTTTCAACCACAATCTGCCACACCTGTTCCAGAGAATTAACTTCTTCAGAAGTCTTTGGTTGAGTGGATCAGATGCATTAGCAGGAAGAGGGCACCATTAGATGCCTAGAACTAATCTCTGCCGTGAAGTAGATCTTTAGGTTAGTGACCGCTGGTCATATTACCTGTGGAAGTAACGACATGTTCCTATTTGCGTATGAGCAGACTTAAATACACTGTTACAATGAGACAAAATACCAGTCTAGGTCATTATTCATCATGGCCTTTTAATATGGAACAGTTTGTTCACTGCCCGCTCTAATTCTGACACCTTTGACGCCACTCGTGCCTGGATCCTGTTTCAACATCTCATTCTCTCCATTCTCTCCTGCACCAAAGCACTAACATGGGAGAATTCCAGATATGTCCTGACAAACACAGACACCGTGCTATCTGTGCTTGCCCAGAGCCTGTGTCCACGGACACGTCCACTTTGGCCTTCCATGATCTTTGTTACGTTATGATTCAGATCATGTCAGATCTACACACTTAAAACAATGGTTCTTCAGGGGTTCTTTAGTAAAGAAAATGCAAAGCACTCAAAGAACCCTTTGCATGATAAAAGTTTTTTCATTTCATTTTTCTTTTTTCATTTTTCATTTCATTTTTTCATTCATTCATTCATTCGTCTTCTAGCTGCTTATCCTCCTGGGTTGCGGGGTGTGGTGCTGGAGCCTGTCCCAGCATTTTCCTTTTTTTCAGGGTCAGGAAGAATAAAAAAATGTGGAATGTTAAATGTGGCCTTTATTACAGCTTCTTTTGCCTTTATTACAGCTTTCATTCTTTCAGAAGATTTGCTTTCAGCTTTTCAAAGAAATCATCAGGGATATTTTTCCCCAAAGTTCTGTCTTAGAAGTTGGTTGCATTTTCTGCTGCTCAGGATCCAAATAACAGCTTCTTGACAGCTAAACATCCTTTCAGACTCATAGTGTTGAGTTGTCTACTCACAGTGGAAGGTTGGACAGAAACACCTGTGGATTTTGAAAAGTTTGATTTAACTCATCATTTGAATTTGCAACATATTTAGGACATTTTGCTTGTGTATTATATTATTTTATTTGAACCTTTTGGCACAAAATTAACTCCATATATTTTCTCCTGTCCCTTTTTTGTGTCCTGTTTTAAGTACTGTTTATCTGATGGGGACAGTTTTGGAGGTCTACCAGGTCTTTCACACCCATTTCTCTCTATATTAATCATTTTTTGCACTGCAGTTTTGGAAACTTTTCACTTGTATTCCTTTGACTTTTCACTTCCTTATGTAAGAGAATTATCATATATTTAATCTCTCAGAACTTGAATTACTGAATGACTGTATACACTGGATGTTAAACAAGGGAAGGGTGGTCTCTGATTTGAATTGTTGCACAGTAGGGCAACAATTAATTGACAGTATCAGTAACATCAATAATAAAAGATTGTTGCATACAAATCTTATCAATTTGTTATGATGATGTTCACACACCCCTTTTACATCAATTTAACGAGAGAGGGAAAACTCAGATGGTGGCAGCTACAGAACAAGGTTATGCATGACTTTAAAAAGGCAAAAATAAGGGAGTACTTCAGTTGGACATCTAAAAAGACGATTTCCTGTAAGATGTGAAATAAAGACTTTTCATAAGCATTTTCATCTAAACTGCATGGTATATTCTACTTATTCATTGCTAGTGCACTAATGTACACACACCTGCTCATCCATACGGGTGTTTTTCTATCTCTGTGTTTTGTACAAAAAAGATATGTAAGGTCATATGATACTAATCAATTTAACCATTGCTCCACCTGTTTTCCCTGTTGTGTACTACAATACCTTATACTAACAATGTTTTGCTATCTGGTGTCAACCAGAGGAGGATGGGTTCCCCTTCTGAGTCTTGGTTCCTCTCAAGGTTTCTCCCTCCTGCTCTTAGAGAGTTTTTCCTTGCCACTGTCACCACTGGCGACGCTCATGGGGGTTTGGACCCAGATTTCTTTCTGTAATGCTGATTTTTCTGTAAAGCTGCTTTGTGACAACACCTGTTGTAAAAAGCGCTATATAAATAAACTTTGCTTTGCTTGCTTTTGGAAAGAGCTCTCCAGTGTGGAGATTTTGAAACTCCATTTCTGTGTTTTCATGTGGACGGATGTTTTTGTAAATGGTGACATCTCACACATGGTTATTGCTGTTTGACAAGTGATAAATATGCTTTATGGCCCTGCATGTTTGATATAATGATGAATTGTGTGCTCAGTAATATAAGTTTGATTACATGATTTTACCAACCACACAAACAAGTTAATTCATCTTTGCTGAATCATTAGAGGTGAAATCATTTGAATTGCAATGCAAGTCCTTGTAGAATCAAACCACGTCCATAGTAGTGCATGGAACTGCAATGTCATGTCCATGCAGTGTTCCTTTATAATTTCTACATCTTTCACACAAAGTAAAAAACACTTTTGAGGGCAGTTCAGAAGGCATCCTGTGGCCTTCAATTAATCGACGGGTTGTTTGTGATAAACTTATGATTCAGAGGATAGGCTTTATATTTAAAAGAGCATTGGGCAAATAGAGGAAGAATTCTTGTGTTTTTCATTTATTGAAAGAAACGTGAAGCGTGAAGTGAAATATTTAGTAATTGACAGACTACTGACCACATTTTTTCTTTTATCAATTAAGCAAAGCAATAATAAACCAATTAATCGATTATAGAAATCATTTCAATCAGTTGCAGCCCAAATGTGCCTAAGGAGAGAAACGGGGTATAATGAGCCTCTTTTTTTTCTCTGAAGAAAAATAATAATGTATTTATTCCAGGCATTGGTAAATGTATATTTAGGCTTGTTGTGCATCCATAGAAATGAAACATTAGGCTACATATAGCTGTTACAGTTTTAGAAGTATGACCGATCGAAAAAGTTGGTCCTTTGGCACATCTCATCCCCAGGCAGGTGTAAATCAAGCATAGGGAGGGGAAAGCTGAGCCCGGTGGGGGTCAAAAGTGCCACACTTAAATAACCTGCCTACATAAAGAACAAAACAAAGTCACTCCAGTGATTCTCCACTCTAGTTCATATTAATCAAAGATGTATTATGCAAAGAAGAATGGATGTGTTGGTTGTGAAATTCGTATGTACGATTAAAAAAGAATGAAGTAACTCACGAACCTGTTCATTCTTGCTCCGTCTTGTTCTCATGAACAGAAATCCCATTTCCCTGAACACCTGTTAAACCATTAGAATCCTATACAATGTGATATCAACCAATCAGGAAAAGACAAAATACCTTTAGTGACTACTGGACACCACAAGGAACCAACAGAAACCGTTCACACTCCATCTTATCATCAAAAACCTCACGAGCCTTTGCTAATCTGTAATGACCTGTACTGGAAATTTCTCCTTGGTCAAGTTTCTTAATGTATCACATTAGTGAGATTCTGTCTATCTTTTGCTCCTTTGCAGCGAATAGACTTCCCTTCTGACGCTTGATTGGCTGCTCTTCTCAGATCTTCCAATGGGGCTGAACCCCTACTGGCTTTAGTTTAGTGGTTTCTTGGCATGATGGAAATTCTGCAATATCACTACGATACAACATGCATGAATGTTCTTTACTTAATTATATTGAGCCAAAAGTAATGGGTCGATTTACCCCAGAATCCCCATTTTGAGAAAGCTGCTCCAGGCATGAATTCACAGTTATGTAAGGTTTATGACCTCATGTCGAAGCCTATATTGCTGTTCATTAGTATGTAAAAGTATGGCAGGCATATCTGTTTCTTTTAACATATACGAGTGATAACATCTTAACCTTTATAATTTCACTTAGCATGAGAAAAATCACACTTCCCATGCTCATCTGTATCAGAACTCATGTGACATGAACTATTCTTCCTGAATCTGTGATCACTTAGTTGTTTCTGTGTATGGTTGCCTAAAGCATGGCTGATTTTACCCACTGCCTCAACACACCCCATTCTCCCCTACTGTATATTAGTGGTAATCTGATTGTAATGTGTTGGGACATTAAACTTGAGGCATTAAGAAAGACAAAGCTCTGTCACTGAGCAATATTTAACACATTTATTGTTCCTTTAATTACACGACAACACATTGCAAGGTGCAGGAGAGAAAACCCCATCATTATTCAGGCTCCACATGGATAAAGCATTCATATCTTCACTTCAAACAAATGAAATGAAATTAAAATGAAATGAACACAAGCAGCAAACACACAGTTAATGAGTGAAACGATTAAATAATGCACTTCTGAGAGACATGATGATGCATGGAAATGCGGGATGTGTGCATGAACTCAGATGAAAAAGCAAATAAAGGCAACGAAATCTTTCTGCTCTGCAGTATGACCTTTGACAAATCCTGAGGTCAGTTTTAAGTGGACTGAAAAAGGGGCATAAGGGAGTCCCCAGAGCATCCATCCCAGGGTCAAGTCTGCTGTGCGTCTCACTTCTTGAGATCCTCTTTGGTGATTTGAGCTGCAAAGCAAAGACAGAAACGTAAGAATGTAAGAACATTCTGACAATACAGCATTTATCAATTTAAAATGAACCAGAATTAAACAATAAACTATTTAAATAAAAGACTAAAATGACGAAATTAGCTGAATAGCTATCTTGCGTCCTAACTGTCGAACCTAGTTGCTCCCATCAGATGGCAGAAACAGCTCGAGCTCAAATCAACCAACATACTACTGCTTCTGTTCCAAGGCAGAAGTTAGGACTTCTGTTGTTGTCATAAGATCCATGACCCTCATGAGTATGCCTCAATACAATAGATGAAAACACTCTCGTTCATCCTGTTTCTGTTCATGATTGTGAAAGTTAGCAACTGTGAAAAATGAGTGAGGTGATTACATAATAATTGTGGCAGGCCTACAATATTATAATACTAGAATAAGAGAATACGAATAGAAGTGATATTTCACTGAGTAACCTTGCAAAAGAATAACCGTTCATAGTTATTTATGTCAGAACTGAAACTGCACTGGATTGATTTGGTAAAACCACAGAATGCTACAAAAAATCTGAGACAAACCAAAGCACTTGTCCTGAACAAGTACATTTAAATCTTTTCGAGACAATCCACAAGCACGTTAGTAGTCCTGCTGTAAAGATACTGAAGCCGGTATATGAGAGAGAGGAGGTAGAACAGTGCTAGCTATTTAGTGGTGGTGTGCTTACCTTCACAACATTTCACACAGAGCAAACCTGACTTTATTCACGAGCTGGGGGAGTCAATGGGAACAGGTGAGGAGAAACAGGAAACAGCGAAAAGGAAGGATTAAAGTCTGACACACATCACAAACCATGGATCTCTGGAAAGAGATCCATTCAGGACCTTTGGAATGTACACTGAGATACATCTTCAGATCCAGCTTTATGAAGTTAATAATGCAAAATAAAAGGAAAAGACATTTTGATATATGCCAGAAATGTCCATGTTTCTTGGGAATGCATTGAAAAGCAGAAGACCAGAGGCCTAATGGATAGTTTCCCAGGCACCTTTAAAACGTATTTCTAGATTTAATTGCATTTTTAACAGTGATTCACCATCTTTAGCTCTTGTTGACAGGGAAACTGAGTTTGGATGAAGTTATGAGAACATTAAGCCTACTGGAACTGCACTGTATAGGAGTGAAACCATGGATTCTGTTTTTGTCAGCATATATCTACAGTCATGAGTAAATATGAGGAGGTACAGATCATATATGACAACAGTGTCACTCATATATGTCCTCATATTTAACTGAACACTGTACAATACAGTAAAACAGGAACTGACACATACATTGCATTCAACAAGAAGGGGGCCATGTGGGGGCATCTAAGGCGCTACAGCTACCACCATTTGTAGCAAACTTGTCTTAAACTACTAATATCAAGATCAAAAAGATAAGACAGTGCGGTCACTCTACATTTTCTTTGTAGATCATGAAAGGCAAGCTTTCTGAAAGCATGGAGCGAGAAGCAGGGTACTTACGGCGAACTTCTAGCTTGCACTCTACTGTGTCTTCTCCACTGGAATTAACTGCTTTACACGTGTACACACCCCCATCAAATGGACACGGCTTCCGGATCTCCAGAGTCAGAACCCCCTGCTCGCTGAACGTGCGGTACTTGGCTTCATTTGAGATGTCCATCTTGTTCTTGTACCATGTGATTTTGGGCTGAGTAGATGGAAGGAAGAAGGGAAATTTGAGATTTGAAAAAATCAGCTGTTCCATCTGATCACACTAACTCCAAAGTATAGAGTGAATATTTCAATTTGTTCCTACACTGAAAAAAGTAATGCACTGACTGTACTTGACTCAAATGAACCTAATTTCCACATGAATAAAACATATTATGACAACATAATTACTGCCAAAAGTAAGTAAATCAAAAGAGAAAACTGTGTTAAATATATTTTATACATGTAGAGGTGATGTGCACTTTGGAATCATTTCTTTTTTCAGTGCATGATCCTAACCATCAAATAAGCCATTCATGCACTGAACACATCTCACGTCAAGTAGAGATGGCACGAAACCACTTTTTATTTTCTGATACTGATACTGAAACTGTGAGCACTGGCCGATACTAATACAGACAGAATTTTTCTTTTAAAAACTATCAAGCTTTAATATTAGCTATTTTTAATATAAGCACTTCACTTAAGATGAGCATCTAAATCTAGGCTATCATCATCAGACTACTCAAACACTTTACTACCCCTCAAGGAGAAATAACAACATCATATCACATGTGACCGTGTGCTATTTCAGGCTTGATTTGTTACAGGTTTGGATAAGATTCATTGTTTTTTTGCTTCAATATCCAATCCAGAATTTTCTGCTCATATCAGCCCCTATACTGATGCCCATCAATATTGATATGACATCTCAAACTAACTAATTTATTACATTTCTGGAGGTTTATGTGTTTTCATTTAATTCTTGCTATTTCTAAATGACTATTTGTTTTTAAACATCCATGTCTTCACTGTATTTCGCTGGAAGGTGCCAAACAGGAGGCAAAAACATATTGATTGTTCACTGGAAGTCTCTGCCTTCTCATTCTGTCAACAACTGGCCTGTAACCTTTCTAGATATTTTGGGGCTAGACTTTTCTGTGGTCCGTTTGTGCGGCACAAAATGCAGGAACATTCAGAGCATACCCAGTGCTATTGTTAACATCAAACGACTTACGCAAGTTGTTTATTTTCCGTCTGTGTTAACCTTGAGGGTGGAGGTAGGGATCAAAATCCTTATAACTTGTCTTCCTTTCCACTCTCTCCCTCTCTCTTCCTTCTTGTTGTGTTTGATGTTATTATTTATAATAAATAAATAATTCATCAGACATATTTTGCCAGCTGTCAGTTTACTCAGATTTTCTGTATCCAGAAATAATCCAGCACATTCCCTGCCCTGACTGCAAGGTTTTCACATGCAGAATGGTCAGAGATCCGAGCTGGCTCTAGCAAGCTTATGTCATATGCAAGAATAACGCCTTTGACCCTTTACGTCAGGGTTCAAACACGCTCACCTTAGGGATGCCTCTTACAGAACAGCTGAGAGTGGCATTATAGCCTGCAATGACCGAGCGGTTGACCAGTGGGCGGGTGAACTTCGGAGCCTCTGAAAAGTCATGGTCTTTGTAGCTGGGAGGCTTATACACAATACCTTAGAATAGAACATAACGTCAGAGTAAAACATTAACCTTTACATGTCACAGGTACAATCCCATTTCCAAAAAAGTTGGGACGCTGGGCAAAATGTGAATAAAAACAAAATTCAATGATGTGCAAATCATTTAAACCCTATATTTCATTAAACATAGTACAAAAACAACATATCAAATGTTGAAACTGAGCAATTTTATTGTTTTTTGAATTTGATGCCGACAACATGTTCCAAAAAGTTGGGACGGGGGCAACAAAAGGCTAGTAAAGCTGTGTAATGCTAAAAAAACACCTTAAAGTTAATTGGCAACAGGTGAGTAACATCACTGGGTAGAAAAAGAGCATCTCAGAGAGGCTTTCAGCAGTTAAGATGGGGAGGGGTTCACCACTCTGTGAAAGACTGCACTATCAAATAGCGCAACAATTCAAGAATAACGTAAAATAGCAAAGAACTTTTGCTTTTCATAATTTATGGTGCATAATAACATTAAAAGATTCTGGAGAAATCTCTGTATGTAAGGGTCAAGGCCAAAAACCAGTATTTGTTGGCCAAGATCTTCGGGCCCTCAGACACCACTGCATTAAAAACAGACTCTGTAGTGAAATCACTGCATGGGCTCAGAAACACTTCTGAAAACCACTGTCTGTGAAAAGAGTTTGTGGCTGCATCCACAAATGCTAGTTAAAACTCTAAAACGCAAAGAAGAAACCATACATAAACAGGATCCAGAAACGCTGCCTCCTTCTCTGGGCCCAAGCTCATTTAAAATGCACTGAGGGGAAGTGGAGAAGTGTCCTGTGGTCCAGTGAATCAACATTTGAAATTCTTTTTGGAAATGATGGACACTGTGTCCTCCAGGCTAAAGACCACTCAGCTTGTTATCAGTGCACAGTTCAAAAGCCAGTATTCATGATGGTATAGGGGTGCATTAGTGCACATAGCATGGGTGATGTGCACATCTGTGAAGGCACCATTAATGCTGAATGATAATATACATGTTTTGGCGAAGGACTTGCTTATTTCAGCAAGACAATGTAAAACCACATTCTGCATGTATTACAACAGCATGGCTCCATATTAAGAGTCCGGGCTCTAAACTGACCTGCCTGCAGTCCAGACCTGTCACCACTGAAAACATTTAGTGCATTATTAAATGAAAAATATGACAAAGGAGACCCTGAACTAATGAGCAGCTGAAATTCTATATCAGGTAAGAATGTGGAAACATTTCACTTTCAAAACTACAGCAGTGTCTCCTCAGTTCCCAAACACTTACAGAGTGTTGTTAAAAGAAGAGGTGATGAAACACAGTGGTAAACATGCCCCCGTCCCAACTTGGAACGTGTTGTTGGTATCAAATTCGAAATGGGCTTATATTTAAAAAAAGAACAATAAAATTTCTCAGTTTCAACATTTGATATGTTGTCTTTGTAGTATTTTCCTTTAAAAATATGGTTTACATGATTTGCAGATCATTGCATCCTATTTTTATTTACATTCTGCACAGCAATAGGGTTGTATTACACATGATACACGAATGATGTAATTTGATGTTAATTATTCCACGTTTATTGAAATGGGCATAGTGTTAACTAATTTTACTTAGAAAATCAACAAAACATACTTAAACCAGGGCACCCGAGCTAAAAAATCTTATTGCTTTTTTATTGTTTGTGGTACAAAGGTCCATGTTGGTTATGGGATAAACATGAGCTGTTGAAGATGTGTTAAGTGGTCAGCCTCTCTCACCTGTTTTCTGGATGTAGGCGCTGTCTTTAGACATGCAGGGTTCCGGGCTCAGTCCCACCATGTTCGTAGCAAAAGCCCGGAATATATATTCATTCCCCATGATCAGGTCTGACACCACACAGTTAGTGCGACGATACTGTTCATAAACTGTGTACCATTCCTGCAGAACAAACACATATCAGCACATACAGGGTGAACTTTTTTAACACATATTAAGAATTTTTTTAAACACATTCCCAAATTCTGTATGTAGAACTGGATGATCTTTGTTGGAGAACAAATACACATAAACAAACTTGCAAAAAGTAGAATAGCACAAATATTCTCCGTATCATTATTTTATTCTGACAAAATACTAACAAAACAAGGCTGTCAGAAGGAAAATAACGGCCATGTGATGCATACTGATGGACATGTACATGATTCATGCTGACAAACATACTTGTCAACAAGTTACTGAGTGACAGACCCAGTATAGATGGGGCGCTGCAGTCGCCCACCAGCTGTTTGCATGGCTTGTGTAACATAACATGGATGCAAAGCCCAAAAAAATAACAATAATTACTGCTTTTCTTGTTAATCTTCATCTGTCATCATGTCATTTGTGCAGACATATTCTAAACCTTATCAAGCATTCAATATTAAATTTCACGATTCATAAATATCTAACTATACAGCTGTCTTTGTCAGTGTTTAACATTGTGGTATCATGTTACACATTTATTAAGCCTAATGCTATTAGCATGACAATGCGGACAATAGAGGCAGACGGGAGTAAAATGGCGGCCTACGGACACGTTCCAAGACCGAGGTCCTAAAGTGCTTTTATATTTAGTAGCGGGGCATCTCTGATTTCTGATTGAGATATTGTCCTGTGAAATGTGATGATACCGAGCCTCCGGGCTGCATTGTCCTAGACGCGCAGAGAGGAATAAACTGGGCCTAATAACGATGAGTGGTGAAACTCATAACAGGATCCTTTCTTATTTTGCCACTAACCTTTGTGGCTCCAGAGAACAATGGGGTGAAGAACGCGGTGTACTGGCAGCTTTTAAAATCAGGTCAAGGCTGCTGGACAGCAGGGAGAGGGAAGTGGGGCATTCCTGGCCCATGCTGAGGGGCACAGTTGCTCACAGATGAGGTGCAGTGAGGGTCATTTTGGAGCTTTGGATTTAGAGTCTCCAAATGCTCTGAATGGTGTCCTTCTCTCCTACAGAAGCATCCGTGCCAGCTATGTTTCACAAGAGAAGCCAAAAACTCGACTGGTGTCCATGCCACCCTGCATCCCTTGTGCATAGCGTACATACATTAATCAATTATAGTGGTGTGTCTGGGAGCTTAACTGTGTTGGCTGGACACTGGCAGGGTGTCAGAATGCAAGGGAGAGACAAGAAGAGACATGCATACCTGTCTCTCTCTTTCTTCCCCTGTCTCTCCATCTCTATTCTCCAGATCTATTTCTGACAGTGTTTTCTGACTTTCTTTGATAGACTATTTCTAACATCAAGCCATTTCTTTCCTGACTGACTCCCAACATTTGTCTTTGGTTTATCTCAGAGATCTCTACTCTCTACTGTAATCATAATTGTCATTTGTTTATAATAAGGGATACAACAATCTGGGAATTGTAAGCTAATGTCCAGACCTGATATTTTTCACATACCACGTATCTCCTGATGCCTATAAATGCCTTAACATTTATAAAATGTAGAAAGTGGGACTTTCACCTGGATTAGCATTATGGAGCAATATAGCTTTTTTTTCTGTAGGATGCAGTAAAATTTATAAAATGCTGACATTTTAGCACAGGAGCCCAGTGTCACATTAACATTCTGCTCTTCCAGTGTACAATAAATATGCCATCAAATGTTGGTTTGAAATATTCAGATTTAAACATCTGTGTGATGTCAATTATTTAAAAGTGAATATCTGCCAATACCGATATGATACCAATATTATCGTGCATCCCTATTTATCATAATTCTGCTACCAAGAGCGGCTTCAGAGGATGATGTGTTCCTCTTTTAAGTGTTGGTTTTTCTGGGAGTTTCTTCCTCATGCTCAGTTTTTCTTGCCACTGTCAACCAGTTTGGACTTTTATTTATTATTTATGTAATAAATTGATGTAATAAATTTTTATTTATGTGAATAACTACATGATAAACAGGGAATCCACATGTCATTATATAGCCATGTTTAGCAGTCTGAACATTATCCAAATTATCACTCAAATCACGTTTCTGTGCATCACTGAAAGAGGAAACCCACACTAGCAGGATCTTGCTGTTATAATGATACTGTGTATGTGATATTCAATTAATCGTAAAAATAATAGCTAGATTACGTGATAACTAATGTAATCTACAGTGACAGGCCTAATATTTATTTCTTTTCATTTAAATTAGTAAGCTTAGTAAGTCTCTCCATATAGCACAATGCTAAATTATCACAGGCATTACCAGAAGGCATGTGAGGTTTTCCCAATACATCTTTTCAACTCACACTGCAGCTTAGCCCACTTGGAGGAAAGCCCTGCCCACTCTACCACTATGCAATTATGTAGATGCCCAACCAATCATTAAGTCACTCAGAGAGGAGCGAGGCTCAGAATGCTAGTTGAAAGCTTCCAGAATTTGGTCCTGTGACTGTTGTATAACTGAAGAACATGTAACATCACAATTTGTAGTACATGCAGCAGTGCTAAATAAATCAAAACTACATTTTGCAAGACAAAGGCACAGCCTGCTGATTTGCACATACCATGGTCTTTTTGTCAGCTTTTTGGATGGTGTAGCCAATGATGTCGCAGTTGCCGTTGTCTTTGGGTGGTTTCCACTCTAGCGCCACATTAAAACCCCACACATCCACCACCTTCAGGTTCTGAGGTGCTCCAGGCAGGTCTGACAGAAAGAACAAAAAAAGATTCACTGCTTGATCTAGAAAACTGCATGAAGAGCCCAAATTCTCAAACAGAACTGCACTAAATGTGTTATGGTTAAAGATTGATATTTTACCACAATTAAGATATTTTTACCACAATTATTTACATTTATTATTTCATGTAAATTATTTGACTGATCCAAAGACCCTGAAGTGCATTAAGTTGGTAAAAATGCTCACAGCATCAAACAAAACATTTAGTGATTGGCAAAAGAGCTCATTTGCATATTGCAGACTTCTGTAATATTGATACTGCAAAGGCTAGTATCATAAGACCAATATACTTATGATATATTGTGTAGCCTTAGTGTCAAGTGACAAAGTTTAGCTTTATGACAACATCTGAAAATTTGAGAGCTGCTGGGTCAGACTTATGAACAGCATAAAAGGCTACTGGAATAAACAAAAAGGCTAATGGAATTTTGTGAAGACTGTAGTCTTAGAGTATTAAATGTATAAACAAACTTACCCACAATCTGAATGGTCACACTGGCCTTGTCCTCCACATTCTCAATCTGCACCTGGAGCTCATATACCCCAGAGTCTTTGCGCTCCGTCTTCCTGATGAACAAGATGCTGTCCGTGTCACTGTTCCTCACGCTCACATGCTTGGGGTCAAGAGGCTCACCATTTTTCATCCAGGTCACTTTTGGTCTTGGTTTACCCTGAAGAAGATGAAGAAAGACAGCATTGTTGATTTTGTATCTATGTAAAGTACCGAAAAGCAACAAATATTTGATATGTAGAGAACCACAATTCTTTCAAGGTTATGGATTGATGTGGTCATGAATATTTGATTGTCAAAATGAATTGTCATTGACTTGTCAAGTGAAGCAGCAGGCAGATAGAGTATGTTCTACTTGGTGGCTTCTAAAGAGTGAAAGATCAGAGTGTGCATTCTTTACATTATAATGCACATTATAATGCTATACCTTCTACATGTTGACATAGCATGATTTCTTTTTCCTTCTAAAGAAAAATAAGCTGCTGAACTCCTCTCCAAGTTTACCACAATTGCCTGTTTGCCACAAAAGTCATGTTTTTCCGTGCAAGGATTAATCACAGCTTGAGTATGTGTGAATATGGGTTAACAAAGCTGTTACCCACTGTCATAAAACGAGTTAACCACAGTGGCATCTGTTAGGTTTTGCGAAGCTGATACTTAATCAGACACCCTGTCTAAGCTGAATGTGCTTTGTGAGGCTGGCCCTTGATAACCTCATACTACACTCAGATAACCTCACACACAGCCTGTGTCAAATAACATTTCTAGCTCCATTGAGAGTGATTCTAAAATGCAAACGATGCCATCCATGTGTGGAAAGCAATAGCGTTATGATATTTTAAATGCCTACTGTTGCGTGTATGCAGGAATCTTAATGAGCTCATCACTGTAAGACTGGCTCGGGACCAGTCTGTGTTTGTGTGCACTGGCCTGCTGTTTTTGAGTAACACAGTTCCCCACTGAGCCTTCACAGCTGCTGTTCCCATTCGTGTCATTGACACTTATCAAGCGGCCATCTGTATGCAGCCTCTCTCATCGGGTTTCAGCCACACAGCTTTGTGTATTTATAGCGTTACAGGCACAAAGAGCAGAGACCCTTTCTCCCCTAACTAATGGCCATAAACACAGTACTGTAGGCCCAGAGGGGTTACAGTTTCAGTCTGGCCAAGCAGACTGCAGTTAGAGGCTGGGCAGAGAGAGGCCAGCTATGGGGTCAGCTATAGCCACAGAAACATGTTTGTGTATCACCACAGCAGGGGTGAAGAACTGAGTTGAGAAAGCTTTCAGGACAGATTGTTGACTCTGGGGCACAACACTAGAGGATGACATTAAACTACGGAATAAGTAATGATACTTTAATATCAGCCAACCTTCTTTATTACACAGTAAATCTTCGGTTACCTGAGTGTCAAGTCATACACACAGGCGCCATATGGTCATTAGAATGAAATCATCTGGACAGCTGTTCCTCACCTGGAATGGGATCACCAGGTTAACGGTCTCCCCGACTTTCTTGATGAGGGTCTGGCGGAGATTACGAGGTATCCAGATTTTGGGGCGCTCTGTTAGAAAGCAAAAAGGAAAATCACAGAGCTGGTCAGCAGAGTCCTGTAAAAGACTTTGAGCAAAAAGAGCATGGGGTGAAATGATAATATGAGCATATTGTAGATGCTGTCAGTACAGTAGAACACTGAACAACTGCATGTCTCCTTACAGAATACATAATAATTAGTACTGTTTAACTGGATTTAGTGTAATCGAGTAGGCGAAATGATTAAATAAAAGTCGTTGTATGCAGTAAAATGCAATGCTCAACAAAGCTGTCAGATATCACGATGACCATACGAGAAGTGATAAATTATTATAAAGATTTTCACTCACCTTGCACCTGTGTACATGTGCACAATAAACGTGATTTTGATTTGATTTGATTTAATTTATTAAAATAGTGTCCCTTTGTCTGGATGTGACACCAGCACAGACTTTTTCATTCATAATTCAATTTGATAAATTTTTTGATACAATAAAAATAAGGAGTGCCTAAAAGTGTCTTGTTTACATGTTTACATGTTAATGTTTCCATTTTAATTTTGATTACACCATTAGAATAGTAACATTTTATAATATAATAATAATTTTAGTATTTTATAATAGCGCGTTAGCCACAATCTCATATGTTAGCCCCGAACTTATAAGCTTACAATGAGCGCGCTTTTTCCCTCTGCTCTTAATTTCAAGGTAACTAAGAAGTACTTTCTTCAAAGGAGAAAAGGCCCAGATGTATGCTTGCAGTTGAGTTTTTACTACTTCCTGCACTGTAACCAATATTAAAATGAGTACTTTTTTGCTCCAGTCTTTGAATGCATTGTTCAGGCTGTTTTGGGGGTTTGGTTTCCATATATGTATGGACTGTATGGTATCACTGGGGAGTGAACAATTTTGAAACTTTTAAAACAATCTTTACACACTACATCAAAGTCTTTTATTTTATTTATATGGCCCCTAATGCAAGTGTGTGGCTGAGGCATAGAGTTTGCATGATGCTAATTGGTGAGGCACATGCTTCCAATAACTGTTACGGAAAAGGGAAAAATTGTGATTTGACTTGATTTTCCAACAAACTATCACATAAAAGAGTTGTTCTCATGTAGCTAGGTGTGTGAATGTATATAAAACAAAGTCATAGGCTCAACATAGGCCTGTAGGATCATCTTTACCTTTTCATGAAACACCATGCATTCATTTATCTGCATCACAAAGGTCGTCCGACAAACTCAAGTTCTCAACAGGGCCTTCTGCCAGATGAGCACTTAGCACGATATCACCTTATCAGTGAGCGGAAAGTCTGGGGGGCCCTGGACCCTAAAATAAACCCCACTTATCTCCTTCCCTTCCCAATGCTAATGCATGACTTGTTGTGAACAGCTGGCAAACATGGAAATGCAAATGAGTGTTGGCAAACTGGATCCATGACATCTATCCCATCACAGACTGTGCTCACAGTGCTTTTCTTTAAATGCTTTGTAGAGAAAAACAAACAAAAAAACAACAAACTTTTTCTACAACTTTCTACAAGTGAATGTACTGGAAGACATATCCAGTCCTTGGCCTTTTGATGTACACCCTTGATTTAATCTTATATCTGTATATCTGTATAGCCTATGTTTTAACATTTTCCATAGTTAGTGGAACCTGATCTGTGACATGTTGATAACCTTGCTGAACTAGGCTTACAATAGTCATTTGAAAAGATTTATTTCCTAATATTAAGTTATGCAAATAATCAAGTGAGGGTGGTTGAAATGTGTCAAAATCTCTAGTTTTATGTGTGTATTTAAGTCTTGGGTGTGATATTTAGCATATTCTCAGATGCATATCTGCCATAGATAGCCACCATGATGTGTAATGTTTACATGTTGTCAGATAAATCACTGGATTTTAAGTTCTCTGAGCAAAAACGTGCAGTATCAAACCAGTACCCTGCAGTTCTCAGTAAGTGTCCAACAGCATCAGTGTGCTGTGTGATAAACTCACGCATGATCTCGCGGATTGTAACAGCTTGGGGTAGAGTTGCAGGAGGGCTGGGGCCAGCCACATTAAACGCCCGCACACGGAACTGCATCCTCTCTCCTGTGGGCAGGTCACGGATGATCACGGAGGTTCTCTCTGTAAGGCCCTCAAATGCTGGAATCCACTCGTCAGCTTGACAAGAAAAAAAATGAAAGTCACAAAGAAATGCCAATGGCCCCAGCAAGAGTTTAAAAAAGCAGTACGTTGATCTGACCGATTGATTTTGTAGCCTGAATGTCCAAACAGAAAGACGTTTAAATCATGATTCAATGTGATTCAGTAATGTAACATTTAAAGAAGGCCACAGATGTGGTGGCCTTAAGACAGCAGGACAACAGACTATCATCTACCATTACAGCACCAGACACAAGCACTAAAACACTAACTTTGGACGAGCTGTGTAGTTGTAAGTTAGGAAATAGTTTAGTTCTTATTCTTAGATGTTATTCTCCTGAAATATATTAATAAAATTGTAATGAGATTCCAGCTCAAGTTCTTTTGGAAATGATAACTGTATCCAATTGCCTGTGAATTTAGCCAGCAAGGCTAGTTCATGAAAGCCATCCTATCTGTTTTATAATGAGATGGATTAAGACTTATGGTAATACTTAATTTGTGCTGTAGGACATGTGAACCAGAGTGGTGTCATAGCACACACACTCAGATAACGTGAGTGGTAAGTTATTTTACTTTTATCTCTTATCTGCAACAGTTAACTTAGCTAATAACCCAGAGTGAAAGGGTTAACGTTACCTGTCTATTTTAGAATCAGTTTTGACAGACCCTGATTCCAGATAAGCAGGTACTGCTATTTCCAGCTTTTGTTTTTTGTTGTTTATTTGCTATGTATCTTTTCTATTTATAAAGGATAGATTTATGAGCAGTTGTTTCAAACAGCATACTATTTGATGTTAAGTGCCTCATTGTAGGGCCCCACAAAATAGGGAAATATTGAGTTTATTTGAGACCACCTACTTGGATCTGAGGGGTTAGTCCAAATCAAGTTGATTGAGACTTGGAAATACTTTTGGAAATATAAGCATAGAATGTAATTGGTACATATGTATGTGAATTAAAAGGGGAACTACAGTGAGAAAAAGGAAACTGGAAATGGAAAAAAAACACTGGGAAGTACATTTTCCCCAATTTTCATTTTGGTTCCCAGTTCAATTTCCAAATGTTACTGAACTGTCATTTCCAGTTGTATTTTCAACTGTATTTTGGCCCATTGTATCCATATTATTATTCGTCCTCTTGAATAAAAGTGGAGTTTCCTCAATCCTGGAGCCCTGCACTGTGCTGAAATTTGGTTTCATCACTGCACTAACCCATCTGATTCAACTCAAGAATGGAAGAGAATTAGCTAATTACTTCATTCAAGTGTGTTAAAGCAAGTGAAACACAAAGCAGTGCAACACGAATTGCTGAATTTATCAGAAAAGCTTCTGTGACAATTTAAAATGGTTTCAACTGACCAAATTAAATAGGACAGACCATTTGTGTAAGAATTTTGTTATTACATTACAAGTTCATTTTCAACTTGACTTCTATTAGAATCTCTGGGTTGGGTGAACTACAGAAAATAGTGAATTCCAGAATTATTACTCATCAGACTTGAAAAAAATATACAGCATTGCAAATTTGTACTATATTAAAATCACACTGGAATCACTCAAATTACTGTACCTCCCCAGGTAACACTAACTTTGCTCCAACAGGGCTATAGTCAACTTGTTTCTGATTAATTGTCAAACTTCTTGTCAAAATCATGCTCAAAGCCTTGTTCTGTGTGAACAGTTCTTATATACACACACACTTACTGCCTTCCTTGCAGTACTCAACACCATATCCATCGATTCCAGCTGAGCCTACTTTTTCTGGAGTCCTCCATTTCAGAGAGATGGTGGTGTCACTGATGTCATCCACACACAGGCCGATGGGCTCGCTGGAAGGGGCTGAGGGAAAGTTCAGAAACATATGGTTTAAATCTAATGAACAAATTGGTGAATGACAACCTTTTTTTGTTTATCTCTGCTGATTGTAATCATTGTAGTTTTGCAGATATTTGCCTAGTTATTCACTGACAATCACATTATCTGTTCAGCATAGACCAAAATCTAAATCTAGCTTAACCCTAAGAAACAGGCTCAACAAAATACTAAAGAGGAATCCAAAAGGAAGTGAGTACTGAACAAAAACCATCCATACAAAGTGAAATCTAATCACTATTATAGATATTTAATCATCAAACTTCCCTTTTCTTGTTTAATCCAGTAAACACATGCTGTAGGCAAATTTAATAACATAGCGTCAGTTTTAGCACAGGAAGATCTCCGCTGTCATACTGTGTCTTTGTCCTGCATTCGGTAATTCAGCTGTAAGTAGACAGTTCTGAACATCTGAAGCAATATTTAGAGGTCAAACCTCTCTCACAAAGAAAAATACTCAACTCAGTGTCTATTTTTGGTGTGGAATTTTGCTTTGCGGTGCACTTTTACGAAGCAACCAAAGACCAAAGATGGAATCATAATGCTTTGGTACCATGTGGATTTACCGGACTTGTCACCAGGGTGTTTTTAATCCTGTGCTCTTCCACTTGTCAGTGTGAGAACTAGAGCAAAGCCCTTTCACCATGAGAAGAAGCCATGGAAACTATGAGACCAATAAAACAGAGGCCTGAGTAAGGTACATCTAACCTTACCTTGCAGCCAACCTTCATGGTACGCTGCCCAGCACAGTAGAGCATAACTGTCATTGCTTGAATGAGCTTGGGCTAGCGGGTGATAAGAACCTCTCAAAGATATAGATGCTGTCACTGTTGATGCTGCAGCATCTAGGACAGAAATAGTTTGCACTTGGCATTATCTTGTGACAAAACTCAGGGCATGACTGCTATACGTTGGATTCCTGAAGGCTGTTCTTTCAGAATGAATCTGAATAAGTGAAAGACCTGTTATTTCTGATGAAGCCCGTTCTGGCTGGAAAGATGCAGCTCATCTAATAGTGAACTGATTAGTATAAATATTCCCATCTTGGCAAGACCAGTGACCAAATGCCGATGTGTTTCTAAAAGCATACAGCATGCCGAAAGACATACAATAGTGATGTCAAACAGAGACTGGCCAAAATTAGCTCTTGCTCTGAACTCTGCGTTGAGAGCTTGAGTTACAGCTTTGTCTTATCATGCAACAGGTGAAACAAGGGTGCTAGCATAGTGAAATGCTGTGTGCTTAACGGGTTGTATATGAAAGCTAATACTGCTGCACAAGAACAAGCTTTCTAGGACATACCGAGGACATATCAGCTACTATATACTACTCTGAACAAATGTTTTACGTACAGATTGCTGTATCTTTAGGCAGGCTATTTTTTGTAGCATATGGTGTTTGAAAAAATGAAGCACCACATAATTCCGTGCAGTATTGGACTCCTATGTTGCAAAGAGTGTTATGTTGATAAGTCAGCACTGACCATTGAAATCTACTTATTTCATAGCTCAAAGAACTCAAAACACAACAGTAAGCGTACAATGTCCATTCAGACCATATGAGTTGTTCATATATGAACATTCCAAAATATTCTACAGATATTCAGCTTCCAGAAACATAATGCATGCATTTACTAGCTTTTCCCCAGGGAGAGTTAGAATTAGAAGCCTACTGCCAACAGGTTCTGGTTCTGGTTCAGGCTCAGTTGGGGGGGCAGGCTCTGAGGGGGCTTCCTCAGCAGGCAGTTCCCCCTCCTTTCCTGGAGGTGCCTCCTCCACTGGCACTGCTTCTCCATCTTCAGGAGGTGCAAGAGGCGCTGGGTCTTCGGCTGGGGGAACAGCAGCTTCGGTGCTAACCTCAGGCTCTTTGGCCTCCACGGGGGCATCAGCCACTGCGTCCGTCGGCACTTCCTCGGCCGGCTTCTTCTCCGCCGTTTTGGGGAGCATAGGCTTGGTCATTGTGCTGCTAGGTTACTTCAGGCTAGTGTAGCGTCCCTGTGATGTTTTCTGAATGCTGTCTGTCCCTCTGTGAGCCTGTGATCTTCTTGTTCCGGCCTTTCCCTAACACCTGCTGTGGACCTCTCCTGGGCTGCCCTCTGGGAGCTGTGATCAGGGTCGAGGACAGTGGCAGTGCAGCTGGCTGTGTGTCCTCCCCCTCCTCTCTATGGTCTAGCAGCTTGGGCAAGCCACACTACTGGATGTAGCCTCGCGGCATGCTAATATGCCATTATTTATAGAAGAGGATGCCAAAGATAGTTTCCTAATCTGTTGTATTGTAATGGACAGCACTGATAGCTCAGGTTTTCAGAACCACTAACACCAGATAAAGAAAAGGATGAGACAAGAACATCAACATCAGACACAGAAACAAAGCTCCTAAAACTATTCCAGGCTTGGATTACTGTCTTAAATATCTTATTTTAGACAATGAACAGCCACTTAGGACTTCTCATGGCTCCTCCTTCGACAGACGACAGGCCGGTCAGAGCAACAAGATGGCGACAAGATCACGTGTGGCTGAGTGTCTCCAGGTGGCCAGAATAGAGCAGCATCCCTTACTTGGCAAGCAGATGAAAGGACAGACACCTTGAGAGCAGCAAGCTTGTCACAACCTCATGCACAAAGTACCTAACCTCTGACACTCACCCCCACACCCCACCAATACCCCCCGCCAATACCCCCGCCTCACCCTGCCACCACCAAAAACTGAACACTGAAAATAAACTGAGGGTATTTTAGCACGCTGTGGAATGGCAAAACAGCATTTGCATTTTGAAATGGAAAACGATGGTTAAATAACGTACAAAATTGCAAATAGTATCACAGTTAGTTACTCACTATTCTCTTCCTCTACAAACTAGGCTTTTTTCGCCCTGAGCAATGTGACCCTTCTAATTAAAATGAGAAATAATAGAAATTCCACAAAACCTGCCTCCTAAACAATTAACTTGACTCTACATTAACTTTCAAAAGTTTGGAAGTGCTAATAATAATAATCGTCATCATAATTGTAAACTAGACACCGAAAGGTATTTTAGATTCTTTATTTTTAGCAACAAGTATAAAATTATAAATATTATACTCTATTTGTTTATGGCAATTTCTTGTCCAGTTCTTTGCCTCAAGATTTGCTTTTCAAGCAAGAGGAATCTGGATTTCATTTTTATTATAACTTAATTTAATATTATAGAGATTTCAGTAACTACTTGGAATGGTCCTTTGTAGATGATTAATTATCTCTGAACAGATTATCAGTAACACAACAACAACATATCAGTGCAGTAGCAGCAGTGAAGCATCTGAATACACTGAAGTAAATATCTTGTAGACGTTCTGTTGATACATTACTTACATTAGGTAGATGTTATTATTAATATGTTATTTCCATTACACAAAACCTAACCTTACCCAACCTTACCCAAAACCTAACCCTAACCCTGACCCTAATCCTAACCTTAACTTTAACCTCAATCCAAAATTTAATCCTAACCGTCGTATGTTTTTGACATGTTACTGAGAGTCAGTTTAATATAAGAAGGACCACTCAAAATAAAGTGTCTCTGAGATTTCTCAATTATTTTGTGAGTCACTTACGGCTCTGTCTTTCTGGACCAGCAGTAGGGGTAACACATTAATGTAATTACTTTGTCCTGTAATTAAGTCACGTAACACAGTTTACAGTTTAAATTCTTGTCATCGCATTACAGCTACTGACTAAGAATGACATCACTTGCGAAATATCTAATCAAACAGCATCAGCAGTTCATAATCTTCAAGCATAATTGGCTGCGTCTTGTTCAAAGGCAGGGATAGTAGCATGCCATTTAAATGATGTTTACTGGGACTGGCTATTTTCTTTTAAATAAATTACTGAAAATGACTGTATGGTTTTCCCCAAACAGTACCTCTGTAAATGTGTATGGCTTTTAAAGAGTAACATAGAAGTGATTTTTTTTCCAGAAAGAAATAAAAAAGTAATCTCATTGCAATGAATTACTTTTTTGAGTACCTACCCCAAAACTGCTCCGGACATATTCTTACAAATTAGCTATTTAAATCCTATGAATGTATCAGATTAGAATAATTATATACATGTATCTGTAAGACTGTGGTTTTATATAATTGAAAATAGTGATTCCAGTATTTAGAAGGTGTATGGCCAAGCTTTACTAGCAAAGACATATATGAGCATCTTAAGCGTTCTCGGAAACACAGGTCAGTGTAAATCAAGGCAGTGAAACTCACCGACAGGCACAAACGGCTCAGAGGCAGCACTGGGGCGTGACATGCCAATAGCGTTCACAGCATAGACCCGCATCTCATAGGCCATGCCCTCGATCATCCTTTTAGCCTCATATGTGGTTTCCTTAAATGGATCAAAGTTCAGGCGCATCCACCTGTAGCTCTTTTTCTTCTTTCTCTCCAGGACATAGCCTTAGACGACATACAGTTCACCAGGTTAGGCTACTGATTAATATCTGTTTGCTTTTTTTTAAGAGCAACATCGAGACCTAACATACAGGATTAGTTTGCTTTGCATTTGAGTATCACTTACCCAAGACTGGCTGGCCACCATCAAACAGCGGAGGATCCCACTGGACGATGCAGGAATCCTCGCCAACACTGAGGATTCTGGGAGCGTGAGGCGGGTCTGGCACATCTATGGAAAGTAGAAAAAGTCAGTTAATTAAAGCACAAACAAGAAAACTACTTAAGAGAAAAATCGGAATAAGCTTTTCTTCCTATCTGCAACGCCTTAACCAAATAAAAATGTATATAAAAATCCTATACAATGTCATCAGAGTTGGTGTAACACTGGCTTTTTTGTATAGTATACTCAATACCTATATTCCTTTAAAGAAATGCTAATATACAGCAAGTCTTTGTATCTATAGATAATAGATTTCCTAAAACTGTCTGACGTCAGCTGTATGTAATTTCTCCATGTTAGCCCCCATCTTTTCATCTGTTTTAACTGTGGAAAGGGTCAAATATATCTTTATCAAGGTACTGCACTACAGAGAGATCCCATTAATCTATACTTCTTAAATATTACAAGATTTGTTGGTTTTAGTTAATTACATTTTCATTATTCAGTAGTTTCTGGCTCAATAAATACATTTAATGTCCAACCATTTAATGTCACAGAAGACATATTGCCCAATATGCATCAAGAGACTGATTATGTAGCTATAGGGGCTTTTAATGCTTTTACACTAAGAACGTCATAGATATGGGTCCATCAAGAATCAATTTCAGCCTCTTACCATAATGTTTTATGGTTAGGGCATAAAATAATGAATGAAAAGAAAAACATTAAAGAAATAGCTTAGCGAAAAATCAAAATTACACAACCTTCCACATTTTGCTTCTTTAGTTTTGCACTGGAGCTATGAAGCTAACACTGTGTTGTTTCTTTTATTACCAGCTGTTAATCTTAAATTTTAAAAGTGAAGATATATGTTTAAAATAAAAAGCACAGAAATTGTGTAATGCAGCACCCATACACCTGTGTGCTGTGAATTTGTACATTTTATTTCTGCCAAACCATTCCTTTAACATCCCTTTAGATATCTGATATATTGTATATCTAATATGGGTATGAATATCCTACCAACAACTTTCACATTGATGTCAGCAGTATCTTCTCCTGCCGGGTTCCGCACAATGACAGAGTACACGCCCTCGTCCTGTCGCTCCGCCCCCTCAATGGTAAAAATGCAGTGACCCTTCGAACTCTCCACATGGACACGCCCACCCGAATCTGTCACAACCTAGTCAACCAATCAAAACACAAATTTTGGCAATCACTGTTTTGTCTTATTAGTCTTTGGACAGTGAGGTGACAATACATCCAACACAAGAGCTCAATCCCAATCCAAGCAAACGAGAGCAAAAGTCAACATTCAAACTTACACATTACAGAAACAAAACCAGAGAGGTGCTCAGATCATTCTAACCAGAAGGCATATTCACTCCTTGCATTTAATACTTACTGTTTGTGAATGAGGTTGCCATTTTTTGCTCAAGCCATGTTCCACACACGGAGTATCTGAAGCATGCGCTTACCTGGTGCACTCAGTATGCTTCAGAACAGCATGCAGTGCATGTAAAGTGCTCTTAAAGGTACACCGTGTAGTTTTAGGACAACAAAGTGATGACCCTGAAACTTATCTTCAAGAGAAAATGTACAAGTGCAGCAAAGATTATCTTAAAATCAGAGTATTATAGTTTTGCACTGAGCAGTGTCACCCTACCTTCCTTTCCTTTTTAAATGAGTAGTAGTGACTCTTCCCTCCTAAAGAATTAACTATAATGGATGGTCAGTTATTACTTGGAAAGAAGAACACTATTGCTGTCATGACAAAACTTCCAACTTCCATGACAAAAACCATCTCTACATCCATTATAAGCATGCCTTATCGTAACATGCAGTGGTGCTGCAATAGTATCTAGAGCCAAATGTTCTGATTTAAAGACTAGGAAACTCCCTTCTGATGATGTTTCTTGAAGGTGGGAGGAACTTGTAAAAAGTGCAACTGCTTTGAATTGGATTTTTCAGTTTTTCGTGCTAGCTAGCAAGTGCAGAAGGAAGCCAGATATCTTATCGCAACTGTATAATTATGTGAAACCTTACCTCACTTTACCTAAAGTCTATATGTTGCTCTATAAAGATAGAATCGATGACCGAGTTAAAGGTTACACTAGTGCTTGCTTGGTTGTATTAATTAGCCAGCAGGTTAGCTGTTAGTTTAGGTTGAGCACTGCAGGGATTCCCCATGATTGTATGGCATATTTGCAAAATGCATGCTGGGTATTGTAGTGAGAGAAAACTGATGAATGAAAACGAAAATGATGCAAAGTGAATCTGTCAAATTCTGTCAAACCACTGAGGCTGAGGGATACAATGCTGAGCTACAGAATACTGCAATAACAGTAAATAATTGTTGGTCAAATTCTGTTGGTCCATTTGTCTGCCAGGGAAACTTGCCTTTTCAAATAGTATTAAAAAAAGAAAGAAATATTTATGTATTTATGTACGTAGTGACAATATAAAAATTGTTAGAGCTGTCTAACCATAAAATCACAGAGTGTGGCTTTAATGCGATGTATAAGTGCTGATTGGAGGAAAGCATAACCTTAAAATCCCAAACCAAGGTCTTGAGGCCTCTTAGATAAAAATTACAAAGGGATTTTGAGAAGGGGATTTCAAAGCATTTATGGACAAGAACATAAAAAATAATTCTATGTGAATTTGTTCAACGCCTTATTAGTTGACTGTCATGCCTCATGAAAAGAAATTATGACCATGTGGAGAGATTAACTAAGATGAACTAATTCCCCTTGAAAATTACAGGGCCAAGACAGCATCACAATGCAGGAGCTGTAGTAGCAAAAAGGCAATAACGGCAAAGGTCAGAAGACATTCTCACAGCACATAATAACGAGAGATTGTGGCAGGGTTATTGTTTTAAAGGCCAAAACTCACTTCACCATCCTTCAAAGTCCAGATGAAGGCTGGTTCCCGTTTCCCTTCTTCCGGTGCATTTTTAGATTTATCCTACACAAGCAGAGCAGAAGCGATGAGGCCTTGGCAACCATCTAATATGTTAAGAGTGGGAGGGCAGAGGTCAAACTCCTGCCCCAATACAAACCTTCGCAAAGATGACCGTCCACAACTTAGCAGGGAGTGAGCAGAGCTCTCCCATACCCGCTTACCTGTTACCTTGTGCTGGTGCTCCTGTCTCAGTGTTAAAGCAAAGTTTGAAGGAGGACAGTAACAAAGATTAATGAACTGTGATGTTCACTGTTAAAGCAGGGCTGTAAAAGCAGGACAGCATAGTAAGTGGCATAAGTGCTCTGCTTACTAAACTATTATTCTAGAACTGGTTAAAGGTACAAAGATTAGCATACAATGATGTAGAACAGAAGATAAATACAGTAGATCAAAAACAGAACAGAAAAATTGATTCTGCCTTAAAGGGCCCATATTCTACATTCTTCTTCTATTTTATTTTTTCCTTTAAGGTCCCTTAAGTGTATCAAAAATGATCATAATTCATTTTTGTTACTGTGCCTTTAAGACTGATATATGTAAATGAGCTCTGTTCTGATTGGGTGCCCTGTATTGTGCCTCATTCAAAAAGTACTCAGAATAGCTGAAACACTCCTTATAACTTCATTGTGAATGGGCGGGGCTAAACTGTTGCATTTGGTTTTCCATGAAATGGGCCCTTTAATGTGACATTGTAAAAAGTCATTTGAGCAGCCCTGAGCCAGTAATGTGCAACTGATGAACATGACAATACTCCCTAATTTGTATTAAGGCACAGTAGCACACATGTATCAAGGATCAGAATCAGAAATAAAATTATTTTTACAGTATTATGTATTGTGCATGTACATTAACATTGATGAATAAAACACCCGTGTGCCACACCCTTACCTTCTCTGCCTTGGTCCAAACCACAGTGGGAGCTGGGTCTCCAGTGATTGGCACATCCAGCCGCAGCTTGTTTCCAGCCACAACCAAAATGGTGGAATCTGCAGTTTTGCCCATGCAGTCCAAGTGGATCTTGGGTGGGTCTATACATCAGAGGCAGTGAGAAAAAGAAACTCAGCAGTTTAACCTCTAAGATATGTGTAATCAACACTGGCCTTCCTCTCTTGACAGTGGGGGTATCAAAAGGGGGCTGACTCCATATCAGGGGTATTATTCTAAACCAAACTGGTAATATTAGTCAACAACCCTACTTATTTAAAGGCATCCTCTTACTGACAATGTTGTATGCCGTACTGTTCAGTAAAATCAATTAAGAAGTGCTGAATTAGTTTTTTGCAGTTAAAGGAGAATTCCACCCAATTAACAAAATATCTACATAATTAAATCATTGAGAGTGGTTTCATGTAAAATGGTGCATTGTAGAGAAACACACTGATCTTCTTTGCAATGGTGGCAATAGGAACCAGAGATTATGCTGTCTACAATGCAAAAATTGCACTTTTTACTTGCCAATTTAAAATAAGCAAGTAAACCTAAACGTCTCTATACGTTCCTCTCTGTCATGGAAGTATTAGAAATACATTTCAGGCTGGGGTGGACGATATGGCAAAAATATTATATCATGATACAAGACATTTTCTGAATACACATTATGAATCTCAATAATCTGAGATTTGCTAAATTGAAACTGACAGAATATTTCCTGTCACACATAAAAAATCTATAATACAAATACAATGACTTTTATTCAGTATTTCATAAACTGCACTACACTACATTGAAACAAGACTAATTATGCTCTCTCTGTAATGAACCATGCTGTACTTCGGAGTTTTTAAGTAATGACAATATCCACGATAAGCTCATATCGTGACATAATTTATCATGCTAAAGTATCGTCATATTGCCTATTTCTATTTCAGGCCAAAAGCTTTCATGTAAAACTATCGCAAAACAATGTCTCAGGCATCAGACAGCAAATTTGCAGCCATATCATGTAATAACTTACTATAAGGTAGCTTTTGGGGGCATTAAAGGTTTCAGACATCTGTTTTCTATCATCAATGCCAACAATTCTGACTCTGTAAGCTTCTATTCTGACTGACTTTGTTTCTAATTATGCTGAAATGTTAGAAATCAGTGGAATTCCCCTTTTTCCTCAACACTGGTCTGGCTGTGTGAGGCTCTACTGTGTGGATTTTTTACCTATTATGGTATTAACTCTCCTTACCTTGACGAGGGACGTAATCAATCTTGACCTCTGAAAACACAGAAGAAAAAAGGAATGAGAGTAACTGTCACAATGCTACGCAGGCTGCTGAATGATCACTGTCTAAGGAATCAGAGATATATAGTACCGAGGAAGTTAAGTTTGGCTGAGAGGTTAAAGGCGTAGCCTTCAGGGACAAAAGTGTAGTCTCCTTCATCCTCTGGTCGCACATCATCAATGGTGAGCTTATGAATCCTGGAGAGATAGCATATTAGACAAGCTGTACACCAAACCCTCAACATTAAAGGTATTGAAAAAATTGAAAACATCCCATGAAAAAGGCACCTGCACTAAACTGCATGGACCCATAAGAGTGCATTAACCCGAGGTCATATATTACATATTTCATTTAAAAACTACCTGCATACACATAGACTCTTACCGGCCGATGTGTGTGATGTGGGTCCTGGCATCAGCCTTCACCTCCACTCCATTTTTGTACCAGATTCCTTTGACGTTCTCATCAGAGACCTCGCACTTAAACACTGCCTGGTCCTTAGCTTTCACCGTCAGGTCAGCAATGTTCTGATACACCTCCAACTCCTTTTCTGAAGGGTAGAGAGGGTACAGACAAGGCACAAGGCTAAGTGCCAAACATAAGTGTTTGTTTGGTGTTATGTACTGATGCAAAGTAACAGGTAGACTGAATTGACAGTGTAATTTCTGCCTACACTGAACTGTGACAACATCTTAGCGTTTTGTACTGGAAGATTCCAGAAACCAAACTCTTCTCTCCCTAAAATAATGATAAAAATTGTACGCCAAGAAGCCAAATTCTGACCAGGGTCCAAAAGATGAGCTTATGTAAGGGAATAGTGGAACAAACAGGCAAATGAAATTTGTTCTTGACCAAGCTATAACACTCAAATAAAAGTCCATTTAAAAATAAGCAAGCAGAACTTTACTGTGCCAAAACTTCTCAGCTCAATATATCCAATCCTATGCTAATAGGCCTGGCAGGCTGATGCAGAGGATTAGAAATGTGTTAAATTATGTTTGGAGGCTTAGCCACATAGTAGAGTGAGGGTTGATTTGTTGGAGCAGCTTCCCCCAGAGCCCAGCAGTTAGGGGGTGCTATAATGAAAGTAAGGGGCACTAGGGAGTGATGATCCCGCTAGCAGCCTGGCAGCGGGACAGTGCCGCTGGGCATCTGGTTATGCTTGGCATCTCCTCTGTTTCATTATTTGACCAGCTAAACCGAGCCTGGCATCACGGCACAGCACGGATCAGATTGCTTCCCGATGGGTTTACAAATGAGAGAGGGAAAGAAGAGAGAGAGAGAGCATGCAGTCAATGTTTTCAACAGTATAAAGCCAATTGAGTTGCAGACAAATGTATAAAATGATTCTAATATGCTAGTCTTGAAGCTTCACAGGTTTCAAATAAATAGTAGGAAGCTAGCAAGCTGTAAAAAAAAGAATTTAATTATGAATAGAGCTAAAGTAGATGAAATGAATGAAAAAATCTACACAGCATCAAGAATGTGTTATATGGTTAGATATTTTATATAAACATAACTATATATATGGGATGCACCAAAATATCAGCCAGCCTTCGGTTTCAGGCCAAAAGAGAAAAAGGCCCGAAGTTTTATTACACACTTCTATAACCTAAGGAAAGCTCCATTAGTTTACACTGAAGTTCCTATTGTTAAGGAATACTAAGCCTTAGTATGTAATAAGCCTGGAATGTTAAGGGGTTAAGTAATTATATAAATAATAATATAATGATTAATACATGAATATATTAATCACAGTTTTCAACAGTAGTGTGTATGTGAATCATTGTCCCATTTCCCAGAAGCACCATAGCACGCAGAACATTAATGGTAGTGTCCCTTTAAACACTTTCCTAATAGTTCACATATCTCTTTTTGGGTCACTCAGATCCAGATCAATAGTGAGGAAGCAGACAGATCACCAGAGAGCATCAGAGGCAGAGTGATTACAGCCAGGGAGAAAATGGAGAAGTAAAAAAGAGAGTAAAGGACAGGGTCTCATCAAGTGCTGTAAATCTCCCTTAGATACAGACAAAAGACAGGCGAAGAGAATAACAGGGTGAGAGTGAGATGCAGAAAGAAAGAGGGAGAGAGAGAAACAGACAGAGTCACCTGCTCGGTTAAAATATATGGGCCTTGCGGTCTAACAATAGCTGGCATCTGTGCATTGTGGACGCTGTAACCTTGTGCTATGGGCTTGTCAGCCATGTTTACTGGGCTGACAACAGAGGTGATTTTTGAGTGACAGGGCCATGAAGAGGCGGGGTTTAAAGGAGATAGCAGGGCACGAAGAATGCCCAGAGGAATTCTAGTGGTTTATTTTGGTCCACAGGTTTGGTTTAAGGATGGCTGTGCCTTCTTTGATTGACACGTGGCTTGTCATGCATCCGCTGTGATTGACAAATGGCTTGAAGGGGTCTATAAACCCAAATCCTTCAGGAAAAGGCAGATTTCGATCATGATATGTGACCTTTAACCCAGTTTACCAATTTGTGACTTTTAAAGATGGTTTTATGACCAGCATTTAAATCTTTTACACTTACTTACATATTGTTCTAATATAGAATGTAGAAGAGTGCTGATTATCCAGCAAAAAGTAGCAACAGGCAAGATTGTTAGTATTGCAAAAATAGTCCCAGTCACCTTAATAGTGCAGGAAATGATTTTATAAATGGCATTTAAGTAAAGTGTAAGTATTCTAGGTCCAAGTTAATAATACAGCCTGACACTAAAGAAAAGCTCGTACCCTGCACCAAGAGCTCAGCCAGAGACTGCCCTCCATTGGTCTTCACCCGGTAGTGACCAGAGTCCTCCTTAGTGGCCTCATTGATGATGAGCACATGCTTGCAGCCATCCTTCTTGAAGCGATACTTGAAGGACTCATCTCGAGTGAGCTCCACGCCATCTTTTTCCCTGAAAAGGTCAGATTTGGCCTTAATGTAGACCCAGACTTGTTCTAGCTCTGGTTTTCATTATCATTTTAAAGTGTCAGTGTGGCAAAAAATACATTCATGAAATTTCTCCTCTCCCCACATGTAGTCAATCAGCAAACACAAGTTTTTTCTATTATTTGTTAGCTACATTAGCCTCTTAGCTGCAGCACAAAACTAAATAAGCAACTTCAGACACCAAACATGTCTTCTAAATTTGGGGAAAGGGGAAATTATTATATTTTAACTATCACTTAAAGATTGGGGAGTATGTACCCACTTTGAACATGTTAGAATTAGCTTTTTTTTACTGTTTTTCTCCCTAATCCATGTCCAATTCCACCCACATGATTCTTTCACATGATGCTACCAAGCTGAGAGGGTAAAAGCTAGCATGTTACCACAGCTACCAATTTTTTTGCACTGCTACTCATGCAACGTCATCAGACAGCTCAACACACTTGGAGGAGAACACTCTACTGCCAGTTCCCTGCTTTGGCTAGCATCACGCTGAGCCACCGGGGAGAGAGGGAGGACCCTCCTACCCACTCAGAGAGAGCAAGGCCTATTATGCTCTCCTGGGCTCCCGGCCACTGATGGCTGTGGCATTGCCAGGGATCCAACTGACGGATCAGTTTGATTGGCAGTTGCGCCACTCAGGAGCCCTTAGAATAAGCCTTTAATGTAAAGTTTGGTCATTAAAACCAAACAGTATAGCATGATCAGCTATAACATTTAAGTCAATGTCTTATAACTGACATTAATATTAATGTCTTATAGTTTATCATACAAACTGGACCTTGAATATGATTTCTCAGACTCAGATTATGGCTACTTGCATAGGCCATTTCAGGACAGCATACAAGCACTTGTGTGTCAAAAGTCAGGTAGTACCTGGCCAGGAATATTTATGGCTGTTATAACAGCTTCTAAAAACAGAGTTTCATAAATCTTAATTGGAGCCTGTCTTTTATGAGTGACCATGACTTGACCTGATAAATCAGATGACTAGTGATTCAGACGCCCAACCTGTGCGATTATGTCAGCAACTAGTCACAGATGGTCATAAAAACCTCCTCACGACTCATCCCATAAAAGTGATTCAAGCTTTAATTTATTAGTGTTCATGAGTCATTCTTATTGTCAGATAAATAAAGCCACATGTCTGAGCCCACAGACCCAAAGCGTGTGATGAGTTGTAAGTAACCTTGATCATTCTTCATTTCCTGTCTGATTTTTCTAATTGTGTGCATATTATTCCATTGTGGAAAAATATGAATATAGTGACTCCAGGAAATATGGAGCCCCTGTCAGGCCACGGCTGCAGAAAGTCCTCCTCTGTGGGACGCTGAAGAGCAGTTGCCGTGAACTGACGGTGACTTTCTCATTTCGGCAGAGGACACTGCAGAGGTGCTAAAAGGCTGGCATGACCTTTTCCCAGCGCTGATAATTTACGGAGCTGCCGGGTGATATACGGCCTTGGAACCAGATCAGGTGAAGGCACGGCTCATTCACTCGCTCACTCTCACACACGCACACACTACCCTCTCCATCAGCCGGGTTGAGTCAGCCAGGCCTGGCCAGCTGCTCAGCGAGGGACATGCGTGCCATCTACTGGATATCTGAGGAATGTCCTCTGACTCACGTAGGCCTCTATAATATGATATCTTATAAGTTCTCTCTTATAATAGTAACTGGGCAAGTAGCCTTATAATTATTAACTTGATACTAGGCCTAGAGTTTAAGGAGGTAATCACTCACAGTTATTTTCAGAAAACCACTTACTTTTGCTGATTTAGCCTGCAAAGGCAATAACCATACTAAATGTAGTTTGATGCATTAGGAACACTGAGTAAAGGACAGGAGTGGTTTTTCATGCACAGGTGTGTGTGTCACTATCTAATGATAGATAACACTCTTACCACTTGACTTGGGCTCCTTCCTCAGAGACCTCACACTCAAACTCCACTCTCTCTCCCTTCATCACCATCTGATCCTCAAGATTACGTACTATCAGAACAGGAGGCTCTGCAAGAGACATCATGAAAGAGAAAGAAAGCAAGACAGAAAATGGCATCAAACTTCAAAACTACTGAGACCTTACAACACAAACAATACAGAAAACTATGTTTTATAGTAATGTGCCAAAGCCAGAAGCCACCCTTCATTTATTATATTTCCAGATTAAACAGCCATTAAAGTGCAAGTTTTTCTAAGGAGCTTAGATACAAGATAGTCCACTTTCATAAGGAGAAAAAGAAGGACTTGCCAGCACTGTTGCTCAAAAAACGATGCAAAGATATGGGGGAAAAGCAAACTCCTAACAACCGTGCAACACCTGGTGGACCATCAAAACTGTCACTATCACAAAAACAGCACTTAAGGCTTTCATCTTTGAGAGAGAGGAGAAAATCAAGCTCCACTCTTGCTTCAGATCTGAAACAATCCACGTGTTTCTGTCCATCCTTCCACTGTGAGAAGACAACTCAACAGAAAATGCAACCAATGTCTAAGACTGAACTTTGGAGGTGTGGAGAAATGTATTCTTTTAAAAACTGAACGAATGGATGCTGTAATAAAGGCAATGGGTGGACACACTAAATACTGAAAAAAAGTATTACGTTTAGTTGTTCAGGCTTCTGTGTTATTTTCTGTTAAATGTGTCATGCTTGTTTGCTGATGCTAAAAAATGGATAACTTGTACTTAACGGTCATTTTGCTTGGAAATTAGGTAAATTATAGATGGTCTCTGACACATTTTCTTCCTCTTATAACATCTATCATAACAAGATCCAATTACAGTTTCATCAAGTACCTTTAACAAAGAGCTCTGTGAAGCTTTTCTCATCTCCTATCACACAAGTGTAAGCAGCATCATCTGCCAGAGAGCAGTTGTTGATGGTGAGAAAGCGTTTGTTGCCTATGCTCTCAAAGATGTACCTGGAGGAACAGGGGAAAGAACCTCAGTGGTAATTCTCATTTTGCCCTGTAGGTGGGGACAAAACCTCATTGCACATAAGGGCTTGCTAGATGCATTACAGATGTGTTACATACAGGATCTGTATACAGCACCACTGATTGGATTTACCAAAATACTGGAAAAACAATGTGTAAAAGCAATGGCACATTAAAACTGAAAGCATGAGCTACTTCACTTCTTCACCAGACAAATAGATTTGGTGATATTAAAGTCATAAGCAAAAAACAAAACAAGGGCAGCTGTTGTCCCAGCGCACTTTGCAGCTATTTGTTGCTTTAAATAGTATTCCAATCCAGTCATAGTCCAGACAGTGTGAAATGCCTAACCACACTAAGACCCTATACACAGGCCCTCGGACAGCTTACACACTGTGTCTGAAGGACCTGCTTTTTCATGAACAGACAAGCTGGAGCCACTCACTTGCTAAGGGTTTCAGTTGAAGGACAACAGAGAAATCCATCCATCCACAAGCAAGCAACATAATTTGGAAAAGGCAAAAGACAGAGCATTTGTTATTTTATATTAAATTATTTGTTATTTCTCTGAAATACATCCATGTTATATACACATATATACATATTTTGATTGACAGGGTATATGAACATGTGCTTATTTTAACATGGCCTATTTTCTTCATATGGATTTTTAAACATGGAGTTAAATTTTTGTCTGACCTTCCAGTAATTTGGATCTCCTGTCCATTTTTCAGCCATTTCACTTCTGCGTCAGGATTGGCTACTTCAATCTGCAGCTTGATTTTGTGTCCCTTTTCGACCTGATAGGCCGGGTCCAGCTTTTTTAGGAAAGCTGTGAAAAAGAGGTTTATGCTGATATTATTTGAGTAATATTTGGATAAACAAGATCAAACTGAATTCATCGGCAGTTTAGAAAAGATACACCGTTTTTGGATCCTGTAGTAAAGGTCACAAACAAACCTGCACTCTTCTTCTCTTCCTTCTTCATCTTCTTCAGCCTCTTGAGCATGCCCCGCAGGTCTGTGATGCCATACTGGAAGGCAATCTTCTCATACTCTGAGGGCGGAGCCTTGCGGAGGATTTCCCACACGTCCACCTCGGGCTCAGTGCTCACCTGGACCATGCTATGGTCAGAGAGCAGGAAGAGCTGGTCATTATCAGGAGTGCATTCATTCATTGTTTAGTAAGTAAGTCCCTTCTATTACTGCCTAATATATGCTTATATACTGAGGAACTATGGATCGGTTTCCCTGACAGGGATTAAGCTTAATCCTGGACTAAACAGCGTTCTAAATGGAGAGTCTCAATTGAAAGGAAATTATAGTCCAGGACTAGGTTTAACTTTTAACTTTTCAACCTTTAGATAAAGCTGTAGACATCTGCTTTCAATGTGTTAGCAACATCATTAGCACATATTGAAAAGCAAATAGCGGCTAGCAAGAACAGAAGTTAAAAGGATGTGAATCAATTCTTACCGTTGACCACTTTTTAAGAAACTGCTGCACTTATTCAGAAGCAGAACCCAAGGCATGACAAGACAAACCACAACAGGTTAATGCACACAATACAACACTCAGCCCACCCAAAGAGCATACCCCTCCTCAGCATTACCAGTCTAACATACTTAAACGTCATGAGAATGTGTTGTGCTATCTATTATAAAGTACTGGGCCAATTTTCTAGACACAGACTAAGCTTAGTCCTAAAATGCATAAAGGAAACTGTAACTGTTTGGCACTAGGCCCATTTTGGAGTCTTCAAAACCAGTCAAATGTTTCTTAGCATGCTAGGATAAGACTATATCCTTTCAGAAAGACAAAAACAAATGTTTTTTTGATGTTATTGATGAAGTGAAGTGTAATTTGTGGGTTTATATGGTTGTTCTGAGAGAACCCGACACACTTTTGATGTGCACATAAGGCTTGTGATGCCATTTTCAGCATATTTGTGGGATTAATATCTAATAACTATCTACCCTAACAACAAGCAATCTACATGATAAGTAACGTGATAATTATGCAAAGTGAACTTAGTATATTTCTATGCTATCAAAGTAGCCTGCATGAACAGTGCTTGAAATTATTTTTGTGAAAGTGAGGGTGCCCCCTAGAGGACTGGAAGACTGAGAATTGTGAGCAATCTGCCATTTGAGCAATGATTAGCAGGAAAAGTTGCAGCATTAAGCGAATGTTGCCAGCAGGACGATTGGATAAGAAGGCCACATGCAGACAGTAAAGTACATGTGTCCAGGATGCATTCAGTCACTTACTCTCTACAGATGAGATGTCACATACAAAGAGGAACGGAAACACCAACAGCAAAAGAAATGACAGACACATCAGTCCCCTTTGACTGCAGCTTTATTCATATATTGCAGTCAAGATGTGTATACAGAAGTATCACTTACTGCAACACAATCATTTTAATGAATCTGAAAGAGCATAATTTAAATCATCGACATTTTAACGTCAATGATCAGGTGATAAGGCGATCCGGCGGTAGAAGTGAATGTTACTCGACGGCTGTAAGTGGAACATGACCAAATTCATGCAAATATATAAAGGATCAGGCCACAGTTGTCCAAAAGCACTGTATCAGTGTTTGAGAGAGCACAGATAAAGATGCTACAATGCTTGAGGAAAAGTTGGCTCGGGGCAGTCCATAGGCTGTGAAAACAAATCTTTTCCACAGAAAATGGGCTTTTTAACATGATGCACAGGGCAGAGTGAAACATTCAGAAGGCATCATCAGTAGACGTCTTTGGACGATGTTGGAAACTGACCTCTTTTTGAGCAAAGCACTGAAGTCCAGCTCTCCAGAGTCCTCACCTCCATCCGTGCTACTGTAGGGGGAAACCATCAGCCATAAAGCATAGTGAGCATCTTCTGCTATAACTTCAACTCAAATTTCCACATTTTACCCCAAATGTAATCAATCAAGACATGTTTGTTGCTTTAGGTTTGTGCTGGAGATTTAATGCTAATGTTGCTAGCAAGCAAGTAAGACTTTGTAACAGTTAATTAGCACTCTGAAAGCCTAAATTTTGTCTGTACTTCTGTCAATTTTCATAGATAGTAATTTGTCACACAGTGTCAATAACTACATGAGCAAGTCTATTTGAGTTTACTTAACAACTTGACACAGTTTCAGACTAGAGCATGGCCATTTTGGCATGTAGTTGCTAATTGTGTTTTTAGCCTCCATTAGCCTACTTGAGAGGGAAGCATACCTTTGTTCCCAGAGACCCATTATGATCCCCCCAAGGGGAAGTAAGCCCATATGGACATCTGATATATGCCAAGATATAGATTTCAAATATATGCCATATCAGCCTATATGGAACTTGTCACATATAGACATACATGTGACATATATGCCAACTAATTTGAAATTGGCCATTTTCAAATATGGGACATTTATTTCAGATACATAAACATATACAAATATATATGTGTAACAACATTATTCATATAGGGATAGCATATATTACTTTTATATCGCTTTTGTCGGAAGAAAACCTCAAATTGGCAAAATGGTAACTTTACAGGAAAAGAAAAAAAACCTACTTTACTTTTAATGTAAGTCAGTGGAACCAGACTTTTTTCTAAGTCATTTTAGGTCATTTCTTTTGAGCCATTCTTCAAGAAATTTACACACAATATGAAGGGCAACAGGCATATTCAAATAATGTCAAAAACTGAAAAATGACAAACATGGAGATACAAGGTTTTCTTCCGACAACAGCGATATACAAGCTTTGTGTTTTATGGTTCTTCTTTGTTTCTTTCACATATTTCCTAATAAAGTGAAAGTTGGCATAATAGTTGCATAACTGAACTCTAAAAACATACACATAGCCAGTAATGCAATAATAAATAAATTAATTAATTAAATATAGTGTAAAATACTCAGTATTCATATTCGAAAGCAGACAGATAACATAGAAGCAATTACGACTGTACTGGAATGTGTTCACCCACTTAGCACACATATATGTATGACCCATATGCATTGCATAAATGTCCAATATTTGATACTTACGTATATACAAGGGCATGTTAGAAACCATATAGAAATCAGGGGGGAACACATTGATTCCATTGTTAGCATGACTGCTAAGTTTGGTAATGTGTTGCACGTCAGTGAACAGATTGTCAGTCTTGTTCACAGAAATGAACAGCCAGAATGTGATTCAATAAGGGATTCTGTTTGGAAGCAACATATACAAAAACTAAATTTTAAGTAGTCTTTATTTGTTAGCATTTATCTTATTTGTCTTATTTTTCTCGTTCAGGAAACATGATTGAGCAAACATGGGGCTGAAACTTGGGGCCATGAGAACACAGAGCTGTTTCCTAGAAAATTTCAGCGAGGGAACAGAGGTGCCCTGGGAATATAGGGATGTTTCTAAAATTACAAAGAGGCAACATGGGCCCTGGAAACAGAGGACTATTTTCTAGAAATTTCAGTAAGAAAATGTATATCCCAGTGAATATGAGAATGACCCCATTGTTAAATATATTAGCATAGCTCCAGTGCAAAACTAAAGAAGCAAACTTCAGGCACCAAACATGTCTTGGTTCAGCGATTACATTTGAGGGAAGTGTAAAGTTGGGCAAATTCACTAAAATCAACATTAGTACAAAATTATCTGTAATGTTTTATGTTGTATGAGAATCATACAACATAAAAAGTGCAATTTTTAGCCACAGACAGTGTGGCAGAGACAGTAACAGATGCGTTCGAGAGCATCCTCACCATACAGTACAGATACATATTGCACTGATGTATGGAAGTGCACTTCACAACATAAACATTTAGTGTGTCCCTGTGAAATTTTCATTCATTTCTTTGGCTTCTATGAAGTTTGCTGTGACCACTCGCTGCAGTGCGCACTTGTTGTTGAAAGAGCTCTTTGTTTGTGGACATCAAAGGTGAGGTCTCAGACCTGGGTGCAGGCTTGTGGGGTGAAGTGGAGCTCGGTCGCTTATGAAATCCATACTGGCCTTAGCTCTGATCAAAAAGCCTGAGCTGGATATTGCAAGGCAGCAAGCGTTAATCTCCACTCTGAGTTTTCTCTCTGATCTCAGGGGTCTATCAGGATTTAAAAGGATAACGTGTGTATGTGTGTAAGAGCATTATGATGAGCGCCAGCCGCTTCCCTACACATGCACCCGCTCCCCTGAAGAGTGTGTCTGTCTTAAAGTACAGTATTATCCAGACTTAGCGCTTCACCGCTGGTGAGACAGTGAGGAGGGGAAAAATGACACGCTGTGAAAGAGTGTGTTTGTGCAACTGACTCCACTGATTTTGGCAAGTTGTCAGTCACAGGGATGAGCATGTAAAATACATCATTTCAGATGCTGGTGAATAATTCCCTCATGTCAAGTCAGAGCTACAGGCTAGGAAAAAAACACTGACACTAAAGAGCCCTTATCATTTCAAACCAAATTCTCCTTTTCATAACATAGTATTCTCTGTTCAGTCCATACAGTCTAAATATAGAAGCTACGCTGCAAAAACAGCACATTTTAAATGCATCATGGTTGTGATGTCAGAGAATCTATACATTCATATAGATGACCACTAATTGAGCCTACAGCAGTTTAGACTGGCCTTTCGCAATGAAGTGATAAATGGTGTTGTCACTGCAGAGTTGATGGAGCAAAATGGGGTTTTGTTCCTTGTTGTTGGGAAGCAAATGTGTTATTGCAGTCTTCTAAAGGATCAAGACATCCAAAAGTAGCCTTTTTATCATTATTATTTACCCCATTCTCTACATTTCAGGCTGGACTGCATTTTGAATGTTGTATGCCTCCTTCAACTTGTGAAGAGAATCAGCCAATCAGAACAAATGTGATTTACATATTTGAGTCTTAAAGGCACAACTTAAAGGTGAAGTAAATTATGATTGTAAATTATGGCTGTTTTTAAGACGAAACCACACAAAAAAATAAAATATGGGTTCTTTAATGGAATTACCAGCATTAACAGAGCTCTGTTCCATGTTGATTTGTCCTTTAGAGTATTTTAATAGGCCTCTCAGTATCTGGGACTGTACTTGCAAAGATCAGTGGATAGGGAAACCATATTCACTCAAAGGTCCAACACTTCTTATATGCCAAAAAAGGAGGGCCGAAATGCAATCCTCACCAGAGGATGAGATAGAGAAGGAAAGAAAGAGGTGTGAAAGAGAGAGACAGTGAGAGACAGAGAGAGAGAGAGAGAGAGAGAGAGAGAGAGAGAGAGAGAGAGAGAGAGAGAGAGGAAATGCAAGGCAAGGCTGGAGGTTACACCATTCTAAGGGAGTGACTCACAAAGGATCATACATCAATGATATGAGTCAACCCTCCTTAAAATGTTCCCAGACAGAGATAAAAGTGAAGACAAGGCAGAAGGAACAGGCAGAAGAAACAAGAATGAAAAGAAAATGACAACAGGGCATCGAAGGACAGAGAGAACAAAAACATGCCCTCCTTTTGGCGAGAAATCGGTTGTCTCGAGACCTTAAGTACATGAATATGTCCTGTGCCATTGCAGCAAACTCCATTAACTACCTGCCAAGTCCTGACATCTTCTTCTTACTGCCTGCAGACAAACTCCTGAGTGATCAGGACGTCCAAGCAACAAGATAATTAAACATCATTTTCCACTTTTTAATTTGACAGAGTACTTTAGCATAAACAGGTGCTAATTCATATGAACATACCTACAGATGGGTGACAAATTACAGGAAAAACCTGGATGAGTGGAGAAGCATACAAAAGGCAGATGCTTCCAGATAGGTGTACTGCATCATACAATAAAGCAATTAACAGCCTACCATGCTTTGTGGCATGTATAAAAATGCAGAGTAGGCCCAGTTGACCTTGATTTTGGATCAAGAGGAAAAGATCTGAGTGACTTTGAAAGAGGGTTCATTATTGGGTTCACAGATGGCAGGAGCTTCAGTCGTAATGACGGCTCAACTGGCTGGTGTTTCAGTAGAAACAGTGGCTGGAATCACATCATTTAGATTTATGGGAGAGCCATCATTAAATAGGGTTGGAAATTGTGGTTGAAAGATGTTTTTCTGGTATAGTTTGGGTCCACTTGTCCCTTGACTGGGAACAGTCACTGCAAATCAATAATAAAATAATTCTGATCACTTTTATCCTATGAAGAGACACTTCGATCCTGATGAAAGCTGTTTCTTCCAGGATGAAAATGCCCCTGTCCATAGGGCATGAGGGGTCACTGAATGGTTTTATAGTATGAAAATCATAAATCATATGCTGTGGCCTTCGCAGTCACTGGATCTCAACCCAATTGAACACCTCTAGGAAATTTTTGGACTGACGTATAAGCCAGCGCTCTTAAAGTTGTTTTTTCTTTTGTCACCTGTCTGTATGTATGTAATGACTTATCTACGAACTCACAAAATCTAATTCAATGCAGAAGGTCTTGTACCAAAAGTACCACTTACGTGCGTCTGAATGCTGTGCGGATATCCAACCCCTCTACTGTTTGTGCCTCTATAAGAAAATAGAAAAAATGTAAATCCATGAACCTTAGCCTCAAGCTAAGCAAGTCTGCACTTGACACTGTGATTTTTTTGTGCCTGCTTTTAGTGTGGGTATGTAATCAGTGTCTTTAGAGAAAAGTCATTGCATGTTTTTCTTAACAGCTTAAGTACTTTGACTTGAGATTATCACTTTAGGCCAATATTCACTCAGGATTTATTATCACTTTGTTTTGCTTTCTCTCTATTTACCACTGAGCAGTTTCACTGCCAAATGTGATTTCTACAATGTACTTTTCTTTAATAAATGTCATGTCAGTGCTTACCATGCACAGTCAGCTCAAAATTACAGCTGTCAAACTTGTCTCTGGAAGAAACCTCACACCGGTAACCTCCAGCAAAGTTAGCTTTGGCTGCAATGATGTGCATCTCAAAGGTATATATCTGCAAAATCAGTGGGACAGTTTACATATGTAACTTCATTCATATAATCAATTGAGTGATTGTAGGCCTTTTTGCATTCTGTCACTGTTGTGCAAAAACCTTCTTTTTTTCATTTGTTTTGCTTTTTTGTTTAATTTGAAAACTCCAGTTACAAAAATTTCATAACTAACAAACAAATAAAATGGTCCCAAAATATTTTTACATTAACTTCCATTCAAGTTTAGAGCTTTTTTTCCTTCTGCTGTAAAGTTATCATTTCAGAAAAACTGTTTTGGATTGTTGTATATTGGACAGTGACAATATACAATACGCACAATAATACACAGCTTTGCAATCAGTGTATAAAACATTACAATTTATTATTACTATGTATTGCTCTATTACATTATCAGAAACTTGTTTGTTTCATTATACTGCAGCTTATGGAATATACCAGTATGTCTAGTCATGTAAAGAAGTAAGTACACCCTGTGAAAGGTTTTGACTTTTTCAGCATATTTGGACATACAGATATCAGAACATCATCTACAATTAGAGAATCTTTACATGTCCAGGCCAGCAAATTTAACCCAACAGCAGACCGTAAGATGCTAAAAGAAGTCTTTAAGAGCCCCAAAATTTCAATATGCACATAGCTCTTGCCATTGTGGATGTCAGTGTACATGCACAGTGTATTGTTAGAACAGAAATGCACAAATATGACCTACATGGGAGGTGCGCCAGGAGAAAGAATTAGCTGTCTAAAAAGAACATCAGGGCAAGACTAAAGTTTGCTAATGAATAACTAGGCAGGACTTGGAACACTATGGAAAGGTGAGTCAAAGATAGGGTTGTTTGGCCACAGACTGCATTTGATTAAAAGAACCTTACACAAACTGTGAAGGATGGTGGTGGAAATTTCATGGTTGGGGCTGCTTTACTACCTTAGGCCAGCTTGGATTCATAGAAACGACTATGAATTCCCTTTTATTCCAGAGAGTGCTTGAGGAAAATTTGAAGCCATCTGCCAAAACGTTAAAGATGAAGAGGTGGACCTTCCAACAGGACAATGATCCCAAACATAAAATTAAATCCACCAAGGAATAGCTCAAAAGAAGAAATGGAGTGTTATGGAATAACCTAGTCAAAGCTCAAATCTGAACCCCATTGAAATGTGGCAGGGGCCAGGATTTGAAACGGGCTGTACATGCAAGAAACCCCTCAAACTTTGCACAGTTGAAAGAATTCTGCATGAAGGAGTGAGAAAGAAATTCTCTCAGTATATGCCAGAAACTGGTATACAGTTACAGGAAAAGCCTATATAAAGTTGTTTCTGCCAAAAGGAACAATATCAGTTACTGAAGCCAGTGGTGTCCTTTTTTTCAGCAGAAAAAAAACATCTCAGTTAATTTATTTTTAAATAAATGATTGCAAAGTCAAATGTTCTTTTGTTTTTTTATATGTAACGTTTATTTGTACAGTTTGTCTATATTATACTGTTTAGCTGATGGTCAAATACTGATATGCCCACATATTTAAAAAAAATGTAAAACATTTCATGGGGTGTACTTACTTTTTCACATGACTGAATACTGTGGCATAGCTGTTGTACATTTAAAAATGGAACATACTAGAGTCGTAATTAGGATCTGTAAATAGGACAGTCATAGCTATCACAGCCATAGCTAGCAGACCTTTGTGTTGCGGTCATAATGCTCTTTGAGCTGTAGGTGTTTCCCTGACTTGCTGGCCAGGTCCATCCACTTCCCTTTGAACCATCGAATCGTGGGCTTCTTCAGCAGAGACTCACCACACACCTTTGCTACAAAGCTGATATTTCCACCTGTAGATGATGAAACAAGTTCCTTCTGCATTCCAGACTTGGACTGAACTGGTGCATTTCTAATTCACATTTCTGGGTAAAACAATCTTGGATAAACCTTGTTCAAGAGCTGAAAATGCCTAAATAGCAAATGACCCTGTAATGTGTAAAAGGGGCAAGGCTGAAAGAGTTTGATGTAGTATGTAAATATGGTTTCAAACATACTTCTCACTCCTCAGCCGATACAGTCCATATGTGGAGACTAAGCTGTTTTGAATTCATTGTTTTCGTGATGTCTCAAAAACGATTTAGACATATCCACCTATTCAGCCTACAGCAGTTTAGACCCATCCATTCACACATTTACATATATCAGTGTTTACATGTACAGTACAACATGGCCTACAGCGTTTATATGTGCAGTACAACATGGCCTACAGCGTTTATATGTGCAGTACAACATGGCCTACAGTGTTTACATGTACAGTACAACATGGCCTACAGCGTTTATATGTGCAGTACAACATGGCCTACAGCGTTTATATGTGCATTACAACATGGCCTAAAGGTGCTTACCCACAGTCACCTCCCCACTCTGAGGCTTCTCGGTGAAGAGGCCAGTCAGGTCCTGCCTGGTGTCAGGTTGATGGCTTTCAGGAAGGCCTGGGAAATGATAGGGCATGTAGAGACAGCAAAGCATAAGACAAAACAGGGATAAAGTCTAAAATGAACATAAATAATCAAGTTTCATTTATTTGGCACGATTGAAATGAGCATAGTGTGGTGGTGTTACACTGTCAGAAAAAAAGGTACAGTGCAGGTACATTTTCACACATCAAGGTACAAACAATGTAATTGTATCCTCAGCAGTGGTTTTAAGGTCCAATCATGTGGCATTAATAAGTTGTTTTTGTTTTCATAAAGAAAAGGTATTTGTACCTTCCCATAACCCAATATTTTACAACAGCACAATTAAATAAAAAGCCTGGAGGCAGAAGTAAGTGTACAGAGTCAATAAAACTTAAACAAAAGTTTAATTAGAATGCAGTTATGTTCCCTAGCTAGATGCACCCTTGAAGGTACCACCCCAATGATAGTTTAGTGCGTTGTTTTCTGACAGTGTACTAATCATGTTGTTAATTGTAACTGAAGGAGGAATAGTAAACAACTAATGTCAGTGACAGAAATAGAAGAAGGATAGATAGATAGAAGATGTTTATTAGTCTAATACTACCATCATGAGCTCCACTGTCTGGGGCATGACCATTGGTCTCAGAAGTCTGGGCTGGTGCTGCTGGAGCCTCTGCTGGGGCACCAGATGGAGCCTCTGCTGGGGCTGCTGTAGGAGCATCAGCAGGGGGCACTGCATCTGGTGGGGTCTCCTTTGCTGGAGCTTTAGCTGCTGCCTTTGCGGGTGCTTTGCCTGGAGAACATAAAAAATATCATGGGTGCGAATTGAACTCAATAAGTGATAGCCAGTCTAAAGTATCACGGAACAAAATATGGCCAGGAGTTCACAGTGGCTAGGCTGGGGTGCATAATAAAATGGTCCTAAATAATTCTCTGCCTCTACACTAGCTCTCAAAGCTAAAGCTAGCACGTCCTGTCATAAGGGCCTTGAAATTGCTCCAGCTAGCAACCTCAAAAGAGTTTACTGGCATTCTCAGCAGTCCTAATTGGACTATAATATCCTGGACATTTTCCATCTGAACAGCTAAGGTGAATAAATCAGCTTTGAAAGCTTCAAAAGAATTGATAGGTAAATGATACCATAGCAACACCTAGCTAGATTTGATATGACTGTTAAATAAAGCCACTAAGTATTTATTCCTCAAATATGTCAGTCATGTTTTGCACTCTCTGGTTATCAGCTTTTCCATGAACACTTTCTCTTCATGCTTTCAAGTGCCTCTCAGGGAAGCAATCTCCAGAGCCAGAGGTGAAGGTCATCAGTGTTTGGAGTGAGCGGTGGCTGGAAGAGGCCTGGTATTCATAGATTAGTTCACAGTAGGCCTTTTCTGAGCACTGACCCAAAAAGAGTGGTGACCTACTTTGTTTTTGTATCCAAAACCATCTCAAACAGAGCACGAACCAAGATGTGCACTAAGATTGGCCAACAAATAATGCTAATTCAGCCCCAGTGATTGTGTTATAGAAGCTGAGCAGTGCCATTTTAAAGAAAGTGCCGGTGCACAGTTATAGGGGTCAAGGTGTGATAGTCCAAGGTCCAAAGAATCAAGTGATGGTGATATGGTCAGGAAACAAAGACAGGTGTGAAACTGTCCCAAAAGTAACCCACCTTCTGCTTCTGTGATCTTAAGCTCAAATTTGACTTTCGAGGCCCCAGCAATAATAGCATATCCTGCTGCATCTTCTGGGGCAGCACTGTTTATGGTGAGGGAGTGCTTGTTGCCTTCTGCTGATATTGTATATTTGTCACTGGCTGTGATGTCTTTAGCATCCCGTTGCCATCTTACTCTGGCGTCTGCTTTCTCTGTCTCTGCTTCGAATACCACCGTTGCCCCAACCTCAGCAGTCTGACTTTTTGGTTTTTTGATGAAAGCAGACACTGGAGAGGGCAAGGATGGTGAGGGAGGAAAATTGAGATAGAGAAAGTTTGACAATGTGCATGTAAAGAAAAGTGCCAAGCCTTTCAAAAGTACAGATGGACAAGGGATCAGCACCAGCAAACAGAAGACTGTTAAGCACTAAGGACTGACCAGCTTTATCCATTACCATAGCAAAGTATCCTTCAAAAACATAAAGACTGCTCAATGGCCTCTCTGTGATTATATAAAGTTTTATGATGATCCTAAGTGGATGAGATGGACATTTAAGCCACAGTGACATTAATTATAACTAAGTTCATGTTGCTTAACACAATGAGTGTACTACACCCAAAGTCCATTACACTATCCATTACACAATGAACTTTACCTGTAAAAATGTTTAAGCTGGCTCACTCATCTTTTACCCTCTATCCAATGAATACATTAAAACTAAAGCAATATCCACAATCATATTAGTAATTTTAAAAAAATTGACACAGTAGCACGAGACATTTTCAGAAACAATGAAGAAACTACAACACTTTTCTCAACCACCCAGTTGGGTGCATGTGTTTGGAATTCCTCCTTCTCCAAAGTAGACTCCAAAGGCCACTTGGTTCTTAAATGGCACCACTCCTCTCACCTGTTCTTTCACTTAGCTGTTGGAGTCAATGTACAATTGAGTACCTGGTCAGTGAAAACCATGTCTGTTAGTTGAGATAAATGCCCAACCAGTCAATAAAATTATGGAAACACTAAAGATTTGAGCCTACTTAGCTCTTAGAGTCACTGCTGATTAACTAAATGGACAGTGCAAACCAAAGCAATTCTTCATTAGTTAGTATAAATGCTTGACCAAGCAATGAAAATTATGGCATAATTATGGGGAAATGATTTGGAAATCTGGGTCTGTGATGACTCCTGGACAGAAGCTTTGCAGGGCATTCAGTCACATTCCATTAATTTAAATTGTCAGTTAATCCAGTACTTCAGTACATAGATTACACTACTCTCAAAGTTACACTTCGTATATCTATCTGTATCCCCCTTATGTGTTAAGTGTAAGATCTATAAAGGAACTCTGGCCCATTTAATTTGGTTTTGCTCCAGATTACACAAGTTCTGGTCAGAGGTGTTTGGTTATTCTGATGTGTATAAAATTGACCTCCCCCTAGACCCTGCAACTCCTATCCTAGGTTGGTCACCAAACATAGAGGTCTATGGTCGCTTTAAGATCCAGGCAATCCAGCATGGTATGACAATAACTAAAAACATTTTAATAGTCTGGTACAAATAATATGTTCTCAAGTTTCAAACCTGGCTGAATGAGCTCTATAGTACGTTGCGTATGGAGACGATCAGATATGAACATGCTGGGAAATCTAGATTTTCAGACACTTGGAATCCTCATCTTACCTATTTAGCTGACCAGCAAGGTCCAACAAGTAGTGTCTGAAGCGGGTACAAAACATGTAAGTGTTTGCAAATGCTGAGTTTAAATGTGCTGCTGAGTTTTTTTTTCTGTTTTATTTTTTCTCATTATCTGACATAACTGATGAGATGGGTGGACAATTTACTGTCTCTGTCTGTTTACTTGTTGTGTTGTAAAAATATAAATAAAAAATATTTTATAGGTATATTTTGCTGCTGTCAGAAGAAAACCTCGTATGTCCATTTTTGTCGTTTTTCAGTTTTTGACATAATTTGAAAATGCCTGTTGCCCTTTATATTGTATGTAAATTTCATTAAGAATGGACCAAGAGAAATGGCCTAAAATGGAAAAAAATCTGGTTCCATTGACTTTCATGAAAAGCAAAGTAGGTTTTTCCTTTTACTGTAAAGTTATCATTTTGGAGATACGAGGTTTTGTTCTGACAAGAGCGATTTATTTTAAAATATAGCTTTATTTTGATGATTTATATTTTATTTATTTTTTTCTGTTCTAAGATTAACTGATACACGTTAGAATGTTAGGAGTTAAAGAAAAGATGACAGGGATCGAGAATCTAATATTAATTACTAATGGAATAGGTTAATGTAAGCACTAAAAAGAGTGATCTTTTTGAATCATTACTCAATTGGTAATGACATACTTTTGTGTAATTTGCAGGTCAGAGAAGTACTATATCATGCTGTACCCTATACCATACCATTAAAGAGGAAATCCACCGAATTTTCAAAATTTCTGCATTATTAAATTGTTAGTATATAAACATTATTCAGAAATGTTGTGAAATTCAGATTTGATGTGAAAGTCAGAATTGTTCATAGTGGTGGTGATAGCAACCAGAAGTCTAAAGAGTTAAATGCCCCCTCACAGAAAGTTATTACATTAAATGGTCACAGATACGTGGCCTGATTTTTTCAGATTTACCACTATACTACCAATATTACATATAAAACCTCAGAAGACACAGGCAGATTCACCTGTTGTTTTGGATAGTGAATAAAATGGTCCTGTGTTGGCATTGTAGATATCATAATGTCTAGTTCCCATCACAAACATCATAAAGAAATTGGTGGGTTTATCTACACTACACCATCTCACATCAAACCCCTCTGAATGACTCAGTCTTCCCCTTTAAAGACCATTTCTTGTTCATAATATGCTCCCAGCTCATATAAAGCAGCTTCTCGCAGGGCACAGTTTATCCATAACCTGTAAATGTCAGCAATAATAGGATGTTGACTGAGACTTCACAGCTGCCTTAATGGCTTTTTATTCTTAGAATTGTGTTATTTTCTTCACAGCAATGTTTGTTTTCTGTGGGTGGGCTTTATTCTGGGCTCTGCTGTCCTTGGTAAATGATGCTCTTTGTCATGTGGTACATGTAATTCAGTACAACATGCCGTTAGTGCTAAATTGAGTACAATAGAACAGCTTGATAATTAACAGTTAACAATTCCAGTGGACAAGTCGTCAGTATCAGAATCAGAGATGAATCAGTGACAATAACGGAAAAAACAATTAAAGGAAACAGTGTCAACATTCATGACAACAGGTGCTTAAACTGCGTCAGCGATGGAGTTAGTGATCCTGGGGCCCAAGGCAAAAGACAGGAATGGGGCATTCCGACGTTCCGATTTTTAAAATCATTTCTAGACAGTTTTTACTTAAGTAACCTTATTAAGTGAAATTCTCTCACTATGTTGGCAGAACATACTGCTTTAAGAATTTTGCTTTCAGAAATTCGCTTGAAACAATAGTAAAATAATTGGGAAGAGATAGGTAGAATTTAAGTAATGAGCAATAAAATTACTTTTTCCAAGAAGTAATAAGTAACAGATTCCCATTACATTTTGAGAAAAGTGATTGGTTTCTTGAATGAATTACTTTTTCGAGTAACCCAACACTGGAGCTATCTATATGAATATTAATGCTAACATTGCTAACAATATGCTGAGCCTGTGCAGCGCTCTGTTCTGACTGTCACTGAAAAATCTAAGCTAGCTTTGAGAGTGTAGCGACAAACTTTTCGCTTTCTTTTTGTTTCTTTGTAACACTTGTGTAGATTTTCGCACTTAACACCAAGAAAACCACATGATAGACCTCCTCTTCAGGATGTAGATTATCGCTTAATTGCCTTGTTCACACTGGTTGTGTCATCACGTAACGTAGAATTTTCCATTATAATCATGGGTGAGCCTGCATTGAAATTAGTTGCTACAGTTGGAAATAACGGCTTTTTGTTGAGTGTATGTACTCTCCTTGGCAAAAAAGAGCCAAATGGCAAAACAAGCTTTTAATGGTCTTAACAACAAATCAACAAACAAATAGATAAGGTAACTTAATACGGGTCAACTTTTCCCTTGATTTCTTTAATTATTGAAGTTTCATGTGTAAACTTGCAGACAACCTTGAACAGAAAGGCCA